GATACAGCAATAACAACTTACGTTTGTAATTGCACTTAAAACAACTGCGATAACAATGGTTGCCATAGTAACTAACATTCATGGCATACTTGTAAAAATAAGCGTTAATCACATTTTTTATAAATCAAGAAATGTTTACTTTAAATCGGTATAACTTAGAAACGGGTAAAGTAAATAAGTTTGAGTAAATAACAAAAAAGTTTTTAAATAATATGTACTTTTGTATGCGCGTATTTCCAAAGTCTCTGCAATCGAATAATTTTTCGACGCGTCGCGACGCCCAGCTCTTTGCAGGCGTCGAATTTTTTAAACTTTAGGAAATATCTACTTGACCCCACACTTTGACTACTTTTTACATAAACTAAATATTTCTTTTCGTTTTGGACTTATTGGCGTGCGGAGTTTTAAGTGAAAAACCCTGTGTATATATATATATATATATATATATATATATATATATATATATATATATATATATATATATATACACTCATCGCGGCTGACTGACCGTTGTCACGGGACCAGAGTCGAGTGCCCCGGTTAGACACGCCGAGTATTTACATAATGTACGGGTGGGTGTAAAGCTTTTGACACCCTCTCGATGGCGGCGGACGTGTTTCGTAAGTGGGTGTTAATTTCGTCGTCTTTTTTCTTGGGACGCCCGAGTTTATATAGGTGGCGCTACGAGTCGAAGGGTGCGAGGGCCCGATTAGCGCTGCCCCGGGGGGGCGTGATAAGAACGCGGGAAACGAGCATAGAAAAATGAAGCCGCTTTCTCTCTACCTGTCTCTTCTAGGTGTCACGGAATCCGACGGTCCAGGTAAAACGAACGCCATTCAACAACCTAGGGGTGCTAGCGAACCTTTATTTGGAAGACACTAGTCGACGATTTAAGAACCTTATCGCGTATTTACCACCTTATCGCTCGGGTTTGAATCCTATATAAATGGTAGGTATGGGTCGCATTAAATTAGCTCCAAAAGTAATGAGGAAATTGTAAATAGGTATAAAAGATGTAAATATTGTCAGCACGCGCAATAACTAATAATAATTTGCCTTTATTGTTGCATACTGTTATATACAAATATACAACGTTCAGCGTTAATAAATATATTTGAGATATTGATGTTAGGGTTAGGAGAAAAGAACAGTACACTGCACGTTTTAGCATTAAGTTGAAGATTATGACTACAAGAATATAGAAATAAGTTATGCAAATCCAAATTGATATAAATTGGAGCAGTATCAAATAATTTATGATCGAAGGAGTAAAATAGCTGAGTGTCATCAGCAGATGAATGCAAATTCAAATATTCGATGGTTGTATAAATACCGGAAATATAAATTACGAATAATATAGGTTCAAGAACAGAACGTTGCGGTACACTTGATGAAACAAGAAGAAATTCAAAACATACACTGGAATACGTCTTAAGTCGGATATTGCTTCAAACGAGTATAGAGAATTACGCAATTTTGTGAAGTACGAGGTTAGCGCCAAAATTTCCCGGCCTGACATAGATGCAGCTCGAGTATCACGATAAAACTTCGTCTTCTTTTAAATATATATCTTAGTAGGCTGCGAAAAAAAATGAAGCCTTGCGTCAAATAGTTTTTTATTGACATAACGCAAATTGAGTATAGAGCAGTCATAAAGTTTTTGAGAAAAGAAGGGTTAGCACCTAAAATTATTAAAGAAAGGCTGGATGGTGTGCACGCCCAAAGTTCTCCTTCGTATTCTGTAGTGAACATATGGGCAAAACGTTTTCGAATGGGACAGGACTCCCTTGAAGAGGATTCAAGAACTGGTCGACCAGTGGAGGTCATAACGGAAGATATTGTTGCGATTGTGGAAGAGGCGGTATTGAGTGATCGACGTTCCAAGGTCAAGGAAATCTCAGAAATTACTAAGCTTTCTGTTACAAGTGTTCGCCGAATCCCGCATGATCATTTAGGTATGCATAAGGTCAGTGCAAGATGGGTTCCGAAAAACCTTTCGGCTATTCAAAAACAACGCCGTGCGGTCTTTTTTGGAACTCTGTGTGTGTATTGAAGTTAAGGGGAATTGCATTGAAACATAATAAAAAACTGTTACTCTACTTTGTTTCTTTCATGTTCATGGGAAATTTTGGCGCTGCCCTCGTAAGTACTGTCGCAAGACCATTATCTAAAGGACTAATAATTGATGTAGACTAACAGTACTAAAACCATTACGAAATCCAGATTGACTGTTAGTGGCAATACGATTAGAAATCACATAATCATAAATTTGCATATTTATGACTTTCTCGAAAACTTTAGATAAGGTCGGAAGAATACTGATTGGACGAAGGTCTGAGAACTGGCTGGGATTGTTATTTTTTGCCAATGGTATGATCAAAGCAAACTTCCAAATACTATAAAAATAGCCTACTTCCAAACAGCAATTAATAATATGACTAACGTAAGGCGCGGTAATATGGAGGGTCATCTGAAGGTACACAATCGACACCAGCAGAATTTGACTTAAAGTTTGAATTAATGTCTTTAATTGAGTCAATAGTCGCGAGTCTAAATGCAAATGATATATTCGAGTTGAACTTGCGATTTTTATCGGAAGAAGTGGTTTCGCCTCGTCGAATGTCGCTTGACAATTCTGTAGAACTTGCTACTGCATCGTCTGCTTCGAGTTCCACGACACTCGCGACAAATTTGTCAAGCCTTTGGAAATCTATGCAAATTCCAAACAAAGAAAAAAGAAAAAACCGAAAATCAGCCTAATCGGAGTGGTTTCGTAGTGCGAACATCAATAGCAAAGGCAACAATTCAAAAACTCTGACGTTTAAATCACTTCATTAAAAAACCAAGCCCAACCCTGGTCGTAAAAGAAACAAAATTAAAGTACTGCAAAGGCCAGCTCGATCGCCAGGCTTAAATCCCATCGGGAATATTCGGGAGATCGTGCATTGAAAAATTGATAACATTTTGGAGCTATATGGTGATTTATAAAAAAAGTAATTAAATTTATTCTATTTTCCTTTGGAAACCGTTAACAAAGTTTATTTTTACCGGACTTTCACTTAACCAATCGCGAACTTAAATTATTTCGAACGGTTTCGTTTCTAATCGAATTGCAAATGGAGCCCAGCGGCACTCCACTTTTGAAAAAAAAAAAAAAGCGGAATGTACAGGGCGTCGCGGAAATTCGTACGACTTGAGGCCGTTCGGGCGTGAAATTGAAAGCGGAAAAGCCCAGTCATAATTAAAAGCGCAGAAAAACAATGGAAGAACCGCAGGACGACCGCGAACAATGGAGCGACGCGAAACCGATAAAAAAATCAAGTGGGCTCGGGCCGACCGTGCGCTGGTCCTTCGAGCCGGATGCGGGAAGTGGGTGACGTCACGAAACCGATTTCGACCCCCCTAATTTGCAATTGTAATCGATTTGTAGGGTGTAGCGGGGCCCGGTCAGAATTTTTTTTTTCTTCTTTCGACTCACGGTCGGTCGTAACAGAGTCAATTTTATAATCCGCCGGGTTTTCGTTGAAATCGGGGCGACGTTGCCGGCTCGGAAACTTTTTCGACGCCGATAAGAAATGTCCGAGTAGTAACTGAAAAAAAAAACGTTTCTATCGATCAAAATAATGTTTCCCTTGACGAAAAAAACACGGGTTAATTGATTTTTTTCGTTTTAAAGCAAATAGAACGCGACTAGATCAAAAACAAATGGAAAGAAACGGAGAATAGGATGACTGGGAAACGTGGAAGCAGCAGGGGAAGATTTGTATATAAAACGTAAAAATTATTCAACCTTGCGTGTTAGGTTAGATAGGTTTAAGATTACAATAACTCTTTACAAATATGCTATAAGTACAAAGAAAAAAGGACCACGTAGATCATGACAGAAATTTCCACAAATTTTCAGATTTTAAAAATATCGACGAACTTAATTTATCACTACGTTTGTTACAAAGCGATATTTAGAAAGGTCAACTCTTGGAAATTCGTGGGCTGTTAAAAACTAATGTATTGTAACTAATCTTGATGAGGAAGCAGGATTAGATTTCGAATAAAAACGTACTTATACAAAGGAACCATTTATATCCAGAAACTATTTATTTTTTTTACCGATTGTTTTACGTTGACTTTAGTAAAGCGTAGTTTTCTCCCGTGGGAAAATATATAAAACAGTATGGTCGAAGGAGTTCCCGTGGGACCCTATTTTGCTCCCTTGGGGTATTTTGCTATGATCGCTAAAGAAAGAGGTTATAGTTGTGTTAAATAAGAAGTAAAAATCATTGATTTTTTTCAAAAAATCGCGAGAGACAGGTTCCTTGATACAAGAAAATCAACAAAACATATTAGTAAATGTATATCATGGCAGATTATTAAATTTTGTGGTGTAGTACCGCTAATCCTATCGTGTTAAAGTGGTTACTTTATCTTACTTATCTGTACAGTTTTGAAAATAACACGGCTTGTTTTTGTGGTAACATGTTACAGTAAAATATGTTTGCAGATGCAGGCGTCAATATCATTAATAGGTCAAATGAACTTCTAAGTGAAGTTCAATCTTGATTATATGAAGCGCCTGTTCGTAGAAATCAGTGGCGCCCTCTAGATTTAACGTTAACATTCCTTTTAATTCAATACCGAAAAATAATTAATATGCATCGTTACCAATAAAAATAGTTCCTTCTAAATAAAAACTCGCCATCGGTAGTAATCGCGAAATTAATCTACCGTAAAAAGTACGCCGCTGAACTCCTGCCTGCGAAAAAACGCTGTTTACGCAAAAAACGGCCGAGAAACTAGAGCGAGAACCGGCAACGCCGCGCGAAACTGGTTTATTTAATTTACATGTCATTGGCTGGTCTCGCGGCTCCGCGCGTGCCACCAAAGGCACGCCAACCATTTTGTTCCATTGTCCGAGGTGACCCGCGCGCGCGCCAGACCCGAACGACTTTTTTTTTTTTTTAGTCAATTGCGGACAGAAAAATCTCGACGCAAAGTCCACCTACCTCCCCGTCCAGTCGCATTCGTCGCCTAGGATCGCGGTCGACGCCAGCCCGATCAGGAACGCGCAAACGAACACGCAAAAAGAAGTCCTCGATGTCGCACCCCGTCGCATCTTTCAGTGGGCAGCCATCTCTCCGTGCTGCTGCCGAATTACGCGCGAACCGACAACGACACACGACGCAACCACTTCGCGATCACGCGTTAGACTGGCGGATCGCGCGCCAGCGCCTCGGTTAACAAGTGGGACGCGAACGCGGCCGAAATGTGCCGAACGCGCGCGAAGTCTGTCGCGTGGTCACGCGGCGATAGTCCGGGCGGATCGGCGATTGAGACGCGCGCCACGCACCGCGTAAGGCGCGGTGGCTCGTCCGTGTGCTCGAACCGACCGGACTAACGTAAAAGTTCGTCGTCGGTAGCCGGTACGCTGTCGCTCTGGTATGGGTGCCCATGACAATATTTAAAAGCGTGAGGAGGGGGGGGGCGTAGACCGCGACATGTGTTTATCGCCGCCGTCGCAGGACCGCCCCGTACATATTCCGTTTTTTCCCATTTTTGATAATTTTATTAAGCTTTTCGTGGATGTTTATGACATCAACGCGTAAAAGCTACATCTTTAATTAAAATTCCCTTTTATGAGTAGGCCGCGAAAGAAAGATGCGCTTTTTTCCAATATACTTTTCGTAATTCTCGTCCTCCCGCCCATGGCCGATGTTAACCCAAAATATGATAATTATGAAAAATCAGATATAATATTCATGCATTACCATTAATAAATTCAGTGCTAGGGCACTACGAGATAAACGTCAAGAATTTACTTGGTCTAAAAGAAGATCCCGCCGATGTCTTAACTAAATTGGTCTACAGTGGCATTTTTCCAGAAGAGTTAAAAATTGGCAAAATAATCCCCGTCTTCAAATCACGAGACAAAAGCTGGTTGGATAACTACAGACCAACCAAGCATATTGTCCAAATATTAGAACAAATTATCAAAAAACATATATTAAATTACATAATAAGTACCCGTATGACTTACTGAAAAATAGGTGCAACTGTAGACTCCGTTTTGCCTGATATGTAAATTTGTTTGTATTAATTTTCATTATATCTGGGCTTTCACGCGACTCACAGTTTTATCGAAACTTTGTTTTGACGTCCTCAAAAGCTGATTGAATCGTTAAAGGCTCTTCTTCATCAATTTTAACCCTCCCTAATTTATATAAATGGTGACTCAATTAAGGTTTCCACATTAAAATAGAAAAACTCGGAAGAATATAAAAATATACAAACATTTTTATTTGCCATTTTAGATTAGTGTATTACAATTAGGTATGAAAGAGGATGTCATTCAAATGACCCTCGCGACTCGTGTGGCATGACGTAATTCGAAATTTCCTATCACTTTTTTAGACAATTCAAAATCTAGGGGAGTAAGATCACATGATCGCGGCGGCCAATTGATATCGCCGTTACGTGAGATAATCCGACCAGGAAACTTGCATCGTTTCTCTGGATGTGTGACAAGTAGCTCCATCCTATTGTAATCACGAATCTTCAATGTCCATACCTTCCAACTGCTCCCAGAGAAAATCGTGTTTCGATAGCGAACACCATTAACCGTAACAGCGTTCTCCGCATTATCCTCGTAAAAAAAAGGGCCAATTATTCCTCCGCACCAAACAGTCACTTTTTGAGGATGCATTGCTTTTATTATGTTCGTTTACAAAGCCAAACAACGTGAAAATGTGCCTCATCGCTAAAGATGATTTTCGCCGCTTGTTCTCGTATCCATTCTGCAAACACGCGGCTCTGTTGATGATCTCGAGGTTTCAACTCCTGAGTTATTTGGACTTTATATAGATGCAAGTCTTTTGTTAAAATTCGCTGTGTGGTTGAATACGTAAGTTCCACTTGCTGCGATCGATGACGAATCGATGTGTTTGGATCGTCGGCTACACTTTCGCGAACAATGGCAATATTTTGATCTGACCGAGCTGCACGAGCACGTTGAGGGACTTTGAGGTTAGTTACAGATCCAGTTTGCTCAAATATTTGAACCACATTCCAAATTGTTCTCTCAGAAGGTCGATTTTGCGAAAAATCCACGGAGAGAGAGTAAATGCGTTGTTTCTTGATCGATTTTGTTTATGTTTTGAGGTTATAAATCTCATATGATAATAAACAAATACAGTGGCGTTTCAAAAATATTTATGATTGTAATGTGGAAACTCTTATTGAATCACTAGTTATAAAGGAAGGTCATCCAATATGGAATACGATTTTGTTTCAGGGATATGAAAAAAAAACTTCATAAAAATTATAACAGTTTATTGTCGTTACTAATCAGTCAGACGTTTATAGGTAGTAATTAACAAGCAGGAATTAAATGTATTAATTGTCAAATTAAAATCTAACACAAACACCAAAATCACAAATGGGCACCCATATATATGGAATAGAAGCATATTAATCATCGTAACAATAACAAAAATAGACATAAATATCTATGAGATCAAATAAATGAAAATATTGTGAGACCTAAATGAAAGAAGTTACTTAATTCCCTTGCAAAAGTCACAGATCCAAGTATCAAACTCTCAAACCACTTTTATCGATAGAAAAAAGGCTTGACAGGTACATACATTCAGCATCAGCAGATTCAGGAGATACTTGGTCCATCAACTCAACTGTTTCTGTCAAATTGGACTTCGTTTGTTTGTTTCTCTTGGCAATTTTCTTCCTATTGTTTTTTTTTACTTTGTTTTTCTTGTCTCTTCATATTTTTATCGACTGAATCGCTTTTGTAGGGTGAAGAAGTTATGACTTTTGCTACAGCGGCTCCTATATGAAGGTTGTTCTTTTCTTGGTTGATGGCGAAGCAGACAGTCTAAAAACGAACATAACATATAATTAAAAAAAAATAGTAGGAAATGCCTATCAGGTGAAATATCAAACTCTAATTATGGAATATTCCAGAATTAGACAACAACGGCTGCCTATATATGGATTTTTATACTAATTCAAACTCGTCTAAATATTGTTTCAAGTCACAGGATCTTAATGACAGAAGATCACAATGCATCGATATAGTATAACACTTATGTATACACGCGTAATAACTGCCAATTCTTATTTATAATTAATTCCATTCCATATTAGGATAATATTCCATATTTGGTGGCTTTCCCTTAACATTAAAAATAGGACTTATTTCGTACTTACTTATTACAGATAAGTGGGTGTAATAGCAATCTTTCATCTCTTTTTTTGTTTTATTAACCCATATTATCAAAAGCATAAAAAAGAATGAAAAAATACCTTTTTGCTCTGAAATTATTTATTTTGTTGCACTTAAGAATACATAACATGTGTCAAAAAAAAAAAACTCGAAATATATAAAAAATACTGGTTCGCAAACCACTGGGAAAAAACATTAAATAATGTTTTTGGGGCACATAAGATGTTACATATAATTTGTACATAAATATACAAAGGAAAACAACTAAAAGTAGATTTTTTTCCGAATAGAACCCGATTTGATACAGAAAAAACGCATGATATTTTATGGTGCGTGAGCGCATCCCTGGTAACACCCGGTTTCATTTTTGGTGATATTTTAGAAAGCATGAAGTATGTAAATGCAAATTACACTTATTACAAACGTAAATAGTGTGGCTGTGGCAGATTCTACATCTCCTTCAGGCTTTATTATTTATTATAATCGTTTTATCAGTTTTTAAAAGTCGCAAAACAATTCAAGATTTAAAATGAAATCAATCGCTTCGTCACCAAGCGGAGTTTTTCCTAGACTTGCAATAGCAAAGTTTTCAATCAATATAGTATTGCCAATGTATGTTTTCTGCGATGTAATCTACGCGCTATAGACTTAACAAAAATGGCAATACAAGTCTACTATTTTGGATTTGCTTGAAAAGTAAAACAAATTTATGTACCGCTTTTGTTAACTTTTAAAATGATATATAGGTTTTATGTGCTTTAGCAGTGACAATAATAAAATTTCTAAATATTTCCTGGATGTGACAAAAAAAAAACATAAAATAAGTGCCTTAACGCACCAGTGGGACAAAATGGGTTATTCTGGGATGTACTATATTGTACCAACCACTTGATAGCTTCATTTTACGTCAGACGGACACGTAGATCGAGCAAAGCCCACTCGAAACGGGATTTCTGTGTGATCGGCTGAGGTGCTAATCGAAAAACCAATAAAACACGACAGGCGGCCATTTTGTTGCCGCACGTGATTTTTCGACCAAGTAGCGCTTTCCTAGCCGCACGGAATGCCAAAACGAGAGAAAACACGGACAATTTCGTATTCAAATCGGGCTGATTCACCGCCGCCCCCGGGGGCGGCCGCGAATTATCCCGATCCGCGAGAGATGACGCGAGGAATGTTAAGTGGGGCCCGCTCGAGATCCACAGCCGAATTTTTTGAATTTATTAAGTAAACATTCGGCACTTGGGCCGCCGAGAATGATACGTGTGAAAAATTCAACGGATAAAAACGCTGCTTTGTATTTTTTATTTTATCTTAGACGGAAGTGTTGTTTTTCTCCTGCGGACCACTCTGGAACTTTCGCAAAATCGATGTCATTTTATTGTACACCCATCCTTTATAAAGTGTCACGACAAATTTTGATAAATGTGTACAAATTGTACATAAACTCCCGATGCAGTTTACTATACGGTTTAAACCACATTATCCCATGTTTTATAGTTTTTTCCAAAAAGTATAAGATAGAGGGGAAGGTGACACTCACATTGAAAATACTACAGTAGCTTGTAACGGACAACAGCACTTTATTTATTTAGTATGGTCTGTTCATAGATATAAGAAAGGGATTGTCCAACATACAATGCAACAAAATTATTACCTAAAGTTTCGGAATTTAAATTCAGGTAAAATTGTGGTCCGTAATAGAAAACAATTTTATACCTACCTGTGTTTAATATTCTTTGGTTTAAGTTTATTAGTAATCATTCTTATATCGTGTGTAATAGTGTTTTCTACATTTGGGCGGGAACATCTCCTAAGATACACTAGACTCGCACAAATTTTGCATAATTCGCACAGGATTCAACACACACTGTATTACACACGAGATAAGAATGATTAGTAATAAATGTAAACTAAGTAGTACACCACACCAAAGAATATTAAACACAGGTAGGTATAAAATTATGTTCTATTACACACCACAATTTTACCTGAATTTAAATTCCGAAACTTTATTTAATAATCTTGTTGCATTGTATGTTAACGACCACCCTTGGATAATCCCATTCAAAAGCAATTGATACGCAATTTAAATCGTCCCTTCGATCAAATTCAAACTTAGCGAACTCCAGCGTCGAATTCATCTTGGAACAGTTTTTGGTTAGTTCAGTTTTTAAAACACGCCGTAGCTTATCAATCGATAATCTAGGAGCTTATGAAGCAATTATGAAATTAAAACGAGATTTAAAATGACGTTTTCAGCCAATGACCTTGCGGCATTCAGCAACCAACATGGCAGTTGACAGATCGTCTATAAATTTCGATCGGGCATTTTTGCGGCGGTATTCTGTCAAAATATGCCTAGATCTAGTTGAATGTTGTGGGGATACGAGTTAAATGTGTGGAAATTTAAAGTCATGCGCGGAAAATCGCTCGACGCGTCAATTTTTACCGTAGTAATAATAGCTATGTGGTATATAGTTAAGTGTTGTCCCACTCGAACACGATTGAAAAACCGAGTAGGCTTGGAAGTTGTTTGTCTTTCTAATGGCCCGTTCGCCCACCACCTTCTTCGTGATCGGCCATCTCCGTTCGAAATTAACACCCGCGCCGTACGTGTCGTCCGGGCTGTATGCATAGGCGAGGCGGCGACCCCTCCGCCCGCCCGCAGCCCCGCAGTAGTGTGGTTTTTTAATTAGCGCCACTCGAAACGCGGCGGCGGCCGTAAAACGAGATTGGTTTTTCTCGCGACTCTCGGCGAGGCGCTAAGTGACCGGGAAACCAATGAGACGGGCCTCGCCCATGTTTGCCGACGTTTCCTACGTTTGCTTTTCGGACCACGCGTTAATTTTAACGACAACGTTCGGTGGTCCGTGCCGACGACCTCCGGTCGAAGGCGGCGGCAACTACGATCGGCTGAAAAGCAAATTGTCAAACCTGACTGGCGTTTTATGACGCGACAAATGTCCAAGCGCGACCGTGACGAAATCGAGTCCCAATTTGCGCCGGCCGACCGGTTCGGGACGATTATACGGGACATGGCGACGTTATATTCGATATATATGTAAATCCGGAGCGATTAGGGCGAATTAAAAGCGCACTCTCGGCCCACTTAATCCGCAAATTTCACAAGCTAATAACGTTCGACGGTCACCCGCGTCGAAAATTGTGTTTATTCGCCGGTTAACCTCAAAAACCGACGTCAGTTTGCGGTCTTTGACAGCGATCACGGAACCTAGAATCGCACAAGACATTGACCGTTGAAAGACGTTATAAAATTAGAATGCACAAAAACCTTTTTCACGTTAGAAGCTAGATTATGAGCATCTAAAAGCGAATGACGGGTTACACCGTAATTCTCTTTTGAAGAAACCACAGTTGTTTAGAGCCTTTCTCGTCCATTATTGCAAAATATTCAATTATCGGTTCTTATATTTTTGGTTTTTGATTTTCAAATCAAATTTATAATGACTTCTCGAGTAGTTCTATAATTAATATTGTCGATTTAAGCACGATTTGATCATGCGGCTTTTCCTCCTATTAGACACCCTCGCCATCACATACTCGGGAAGCACGAATGTAATGTAATAACGTTGGAAAATTGAATAATATAATCTGCTATGGTTTTTATATTATTTAAACACATTGTTTTGACTGTGCAATAAAATAAAGCGATATAACGAATAAACTGGAAGTTTTTTATCCGCTAAATTTTTGCTACGGCAAATTCGATTACATTTTCGAACCATTACGTTCGGTTTATGCATTAAGTTCAAAAGTTAAATTTAACTATTTGAGAGTTTTCTTACAAAACCATAATTTTGTCATTTTATATAATATAATCGACAGTTTGGCAACTCCGCGCAGCCGAATGTCATTTAACAACTATAGTTAAATTTAAATATATTTTAGCCAGTCAGGTCGTCGTAGATAAATGACGTCACTGCCTATTTTCTGCGATCCGATACGAATGTAAAGCAAATTCTAGCGTGACGTCAGTGACTGCGGTTAAGAAACGACGACTGCGATGCTCGGAGTGCTTTCCAGTTTAAAATAGCGACAAAAAAACCGCAATAATAATAGAAAGAGCATTTATTGAAACAAAAAAAAAATCGGGACGCGGCCTACTGCGCCAGCTCGGAAAACACCTCGACGACGACGATGTCCAGCAAGTTGTACGCGAGCTGCTTGTTGTAGTGGGGCTCTTGGAGCACCTCGAGCAGAGCGGCGAGACCCCGGTTGACTTCGCCGCCCGAGACGCGGTCCAAAAACCCGGGGCAAAATTTCACGTCGCGGAATGCCGTTTTTTTCCTAAGCTCCGCCTCTTCTGCGGTCAGAGGCGCGCGCGCACCGTCGAATATAACCTCTGCAAGAAAAAGCGCGGTCGGACGTCGAAATAGAGGCGAAAAACGCACGGCAAACCTTCGAGCAGGCCGACGAGGACCGCGAGGTTAGCCTGGCTGAGTCCGGACCTGACTTTTCGATCGATCAGTAGTTTGACGACGAAATCGACGACGGGCTGGGCGACGGCGCAAACCGCCACGTATATTTTCAATGCGCCAGTCGGCACTTTGAAGATGTTACGCACTGAAAACGATTACGCGTGGATGCAGAATGCCCGTACGTCGAGAGAAGAATAGCCGAGTGCAGAGAACCGACTACATTCTACCACCTGTCATAGCTTCTGTTTTTAATTTGATTTTGAAACACTAGGAGAGAATAATTGATAATTATGGAATTGTGGGTGGTATTGTTTCCTGTTGTAACGACGATTTCGTGTGTTACAGTGTGCGTCCATCGACCTGTCATTTGCGTCATCAGTGGCGTCAAACTCCGCGGAAGGGACGTGTTGAATTTTTTGCATAAAAATATTGTGAGTTATCGGTTAGCGATTGCTAAAGAAACGCTTGAACTACTCTTAGAAATTTCAGTGCTTCTGCATTTTATCAGTGTACATTTGAACTACTCTTCAAAAATAAAGGTTTGTATGAAATTTCGGCGGCTAAACACAAGAAATGCGCACGTATTTATCAACGCAGTTAAAAAACGTCTGAACTATCCTTAGAAATTTCGTTTTTTTTTTAGTTTTATCAGCTTACATTTGAACTACTTTTCCAAAATAAAGATTTCTACGAAGCTGCTCCGCCTAAACTCAAGACATATACACGTAGGTATTCTTTAAAGCCAAGAAGTATCCTATATTTGAATTCCAAGAGGTATTCGCAATTAAAAACACGTCAGTAATCAGTTTTTTGCATTTTATGAACGTACATTTCACCTGAAAGAGGTATTCGCAGTTAAGAAACGCTTGAATTACCTTGAATTTCAAAAATAAAGATTTCTTCGAAATTACTACGCCTAAGCTCAGGACTTACACGATTGCACGTATGTATTTATCAAAGCCAACGGGTATTACCAGCTAAAAAACGCTTATAGGTTACAGTTTTTGTTTTGCTTTTATCGGCGTGCGTTTGAACTACTCTTAACAAAATAGTTTCCTCTCAACATTTTTTTCCCGCGCGTGCGACTCTTCTTCTTTTCGGACGACGGGCCGCCCGCCCACTTACGTAAATAAAATAGGCACTCGGTGAACGCGACCGGGTTGACGGAGCTGCAGGACGGCTCGTTGCTGGGGCCGCGCCCCAGCCCGAAGTTGTCGCCGAACGCGCGACTCACGTACGTCCGCGGCAGGGCGTCGGGACGGCCGGCGTCGAGCTCGGAGCCGTCTTCCGCGACATCCACCTTGCTGCAACAGCGTGACACACGTTTACGACACCCGGGGGACCTCACCGTCGGCTATTTACTTGGGATTTTGCCTGGTCACGGAGCCCACGAACGTCGCCACGAACGCCTCCAAGTTTTGACCCTTCTCTTTGCGCAGCCTCTGCGCGACCGACTGGTAAATGTTGCCGATATCCTGCGCGGAGGGCGCTAGCGTCGCAATAGTTGCCGAAAAATCCTCCTCTGCGGTGAGGAACGTGTAAAGCAGGTCGCTACCCCTGAGGCTACGTTTGCCCAGCAATCCGGCGACGAATCGCTCGTACTTGAGCATCCGGGACTCGACGGCCGAGCCGGCCTTCCTCGAGGGCAGCGGCGACTCGCAGATCTCCGTCTCCCCGTGGAACTCCACCAGTTTCGCTTTCAGCGTGTAGAAGTCTTGGTCGCGACGCCACACGATCCAACCGTCGGCGACGTCGCCCGACTTTTGCACGCTGACACAGAAATATGTGATCTTCGTCGCGGGGATGGTCTAAAAAATATATTTTCCAAAAAATATGCTTTTTTTCTACCATCTATGTACTTTTATGTCCTTTATTTTTTACATATATTGTTTAATGAAAATCAATATATATATATATATATATATATATATATATATATATATATATATATATATATCATCGAAAATTCTGGATATATTCGTCAAAAAGTGAACTACTACTCCTCCAATTTTCACCTTTAAGGGAATTTGTTCCGGGTGGTCCGACCTCAAAAGTCCTGAAATAACACCTTAACCCATTGATACACAACTTCCACGAATTACATTCAAAACCATGTTGCCTGACGAAACGCTTGAGTGATAAAAAAATCAGTTTTGACAGGTTCGCAGTAGGCTTTGCTGTGTCGAATGTTAGACTGCTTGTAAACAATTTTTTTACAGGGTTAAGATTTAAAATATTGCAATGTCGTTTGCATTGCGCCCGCGCCTACCTGGTACGACGGGATGGTCACCCTCCACGAGTTCAAGTCTCGGATCAAATTCTCGCCCAAGGCAACGTCCTCGGCAACGGAACCGTCGTCCCGAGTCTCGGACGGCTCCACGGCGCCGTCCAAGGTCTGAGCAGTTTTTAACACCCCCCTGATCTTGCCGATGCCACTACTCAGTTTCGAAACTGCCCCGTATGTCGTATGCTCGAGGTACTTCCTGTTCCTAAAGGGAAAACGCGGTAAAGGCGTCCGAAGGCAGCCGGCCAGCGCGTTTTTAAGAAGAAGAGCTTACTTGTCCTTCGCGGGCGAGCCGACGCCGCCCGAAGACCTCGATAGCGGCGGGGATTGCGAAAAACGATAAAAACGGCCAATAAAGCGCGAGCTACTTACTTGGCGGGCGTCTTCTTGTACGTCGCCGTCACTTTCGATCCGCAGATGCAGTTGTAAAACTGAAACAGGTCGATCGAAATAGTCTCAGTGGTCTGTGACGACCTGGCAACGGGCACGCGCTCCCGAAAGGAAGAAGAACCGCGCTGATACTTCAACCGTGGCCCGCTGCGTGGTATCACCGACTTTTTGCACCTCTTATTTCGGCGTTCTTTTGCTTTATCCTTTTTTGAGATGTGTACACTTGACGAGAAATAACGATCACATTCTACGCTACCTGCACCCGTTTTTGAATACTAGGCGGTGTTGTGTGTCATGAATTTTAAGAAAATGCAAATTTGCTTTTATTTCATTCTACTACTTTTTGAATACTTTTTTTCTTATTTATTCCAAAAAATAACATCCCAAGGATCGTTTCCATGGTCGTTACATATTCGAGTCAGTGGTTTGAAGAAAAATTTTTATAGTTCCATTCTATGGTCATTATATATTTGAGTAAGTGGTTTGAAGCTAAATTTATTTATCTTCCTTTCTATGGTTATATATTTAATTCAGGTTTTGTAACAGACATTTGTATTTTTCTTTTATGGTCTTTATGTATTTGAGTCAGTGGTTTGAAGCTATTTTTTTATAGTTACCTTTTTCGGCCAGAGACAATTGTAGTTGCTCTTTATGGTCTTTATGTACTTGAGTTAGTGGTTTGAAGCTAAATGTTTGTAGCAGACATAGTATCTTTCCATGGTTATTGCATATTTAAGTAGAGACCTTTAGAGTTTCTTTTATGGTTTTTGTGTATTTGAGTCGGTAATTTGAAGCTAAATTTTTGTATCAGACATTTATAGTTTCATTCTATGGTTGTTGCATATTTAAGCAGAGACATTAATAGTTTCCTTCTATGGTCTTTACGTAATTGAGTCAGTGGTTTGAAGCTAAATTTTTGTAGTATTAATCGTTTCTTTCTAGAATGTCATTACATATTTGAAGGTAAATTGTGAAATGAAAGTGACCTAAGGGTGACATTTCATAAGAGGTGCAAAAAGTCCCCATCCTGCGAACTACCTCGTTGCAGTGGAAAAATTGAGGCAGCCACACGGTTTCGAGTTCGTTGAACGCGAAATCGTACGCCTGGAAGAGCGGTTTCGACGTCCTCAATTGCGCCACGCTGTATATATCTTTGATTAGGTCGCTGTACTCGACGCAAATGTCCGTCGGGCAGCCCACAAAGTTGAGGCCGTCCGGGTCAAGGTACTCTTTGAAGAGGTGCGCCGCCTGGCGGTGCAGCGCTTCGAGCTCCTTCTTGGAGAGATCGGGCGTCAGTAGTTTGTTGTTGAAGTCGTCTGACAACGTTTAAAAAAGTGACGGAAATCCGCCGGAGGTAAGGGAGATGGGCGGCCTTACCGACGTCCATGCAGAACTGGAGTAGGTGCACTTGGTCGTGTTTTTTGAGGAACTGCATGAACGCGTAAAGGAGGTCGGTACTGTTTTTGATCTTGCCGAGGCTCACGGAAAACGGAGACCTTTTGGTAGCGTCGAATCGCACGAAATTTTCCAAAAATTCTACCGGTTTTCCCGGCGGCGACGCGAACCCGCCCCTCTGCGATTTATAATTTGCCGCCAAAATTACCAGTGCGTTGATCGCGTTCGGGTCCGCCAGCACGTCCATCATGGGCAGCAAAACCCAGCCGGAGACGATCTCCCGCAGCAAAACGCAGCAGTTCCTGCAAGCGCCATCGCACGGTGGACGTACGAACCACTTTTAATGGCGACAAACCAAAGTCCCCACCCAAGAATCATAAACCTAATAGGATTGCCTGAGAAACTGACGAGTTTTGCTGGACTTTGAGTATTTTGAGTAGCTAATATAGAATTTTGTTTGGATAATCACTCGTTATTTTCATTTAATGTCAACATTAAATCCTTTTAGTACTTATTTAATAATTATTGGGAAGTAGCGTAGGTAGGGTAAAAATAATACTATTGCGATCAAGTTTGTCTTATATGTATTATCTTGAAATACATATGTTAATTAAATATTGTTACACTTAAATACATAAAACTAGCGAACAAAACGATTTACTTGTAAAACTTTGTGTTCATTCTACCATTTTAAATATTCAAAAATCAACAAATACTTATAAACTAGAAATCCTTATTTTTGGATATATAAAAGAACGTATTAAAAAACAAAAAATGTATTAGGCATATATAACAACTATTTATAAGTGGTAGGTAAATAATAATATGTATTTATATGTATGGCGTGTTCATAGATATAAGAAAGTGAGCAATTGCTTTTGAATGGGATTATCCAAGGGTGATCATTGGCATACAATGCAACAAGATTATTACCTAAAGTTTCGGATATTAAATTCAGGTAAAATTGTGGTCCGTAATAGAAAATAATTTTATACCTACCTGTGTTTAATATTCTGTGTAACTTATCCCACTGAAAAAGGTCAAAGAAATGTATTTCTTTCATTTTTTTGAGCTTTTAAGTCTTTGTTTAAGGTTAGAAATACTGTTTTTCTCAGTTCTCGCCACTCAAGCACATACAATTTTTATTGTTAAAGCTTAAAAACACTGCTTTGTCCAAGTTTTTTTTACAGAAATACAATTAACACAAACATAAGTGCACTACTCACTAGTTTAAATTATTTTAGTTGTTTAAAGAACACAACATACAACGGTTTAATATTCTTCAAATGCATTGACAGAATACACAAAAACCGTTAGAGGACTTCGCTTACGTCACGAGCGACCACGTGCGATCGATAATTTTGGCGAACGTATGTCTTATGGGATTGGACAATCCTATTAGGTTTACGATTCTTGGTCTCAACCAAGCTAATTGGGCGAGTGCCCCTAGTTAAATTGCAAAGAAGAAGAAGAAGAATGTTTCGTTGGGCAGTTACGTAAACCAGTGCCGTTCTTACCTGCAATTGACGTAAGACTCGGGCAGAACATATTTGAGCAATTCCGCGCTCAAGCCGCGCAAATACGCCAGCTCACTTTCGCGGTTGGTAGTGGCGACGTGTAAATTTTTGCCCAAATATTCGACCACCACCTCGTCGAAACTGACGTGCTTCAGTTTCGCGATCTGTTGCATGTACAGGTAGTCGTCAACGTGTCTGACCGCCTGCGGCGCCAATTTGGTCGCGATTACATCGGCAATGTCCGTGCTCAATAATCGGTTGATGACGTTGGCGCTTGCGTAGCGCAGGCAGTGACGTAATTCATTCAAAAAGTCCACGTTGTCCGTGAACTGTTGGTACCAGGACGCGACGAAGTCGTCCAGGATCCGTTCGTAGAGCTGAAAATGGAATTTGAGGTTCGCTTACGAAGAGAAATGCCCTAGTCATAATTATTAAAAAATATACCGATAGCATAAAAAAAAATTACGTTGGTACCTACTGTCTTCCCGTCAACAATTTTGAGAATTAAAGCAGTGGCAAAACGTAATTGTTAAATTTATGATTACAAATTGACAGTTTAAAAACCGTTCAACTATTCAATCTGAAGTAATCGCGTTCAAGAGTTTTCAAGAGTGTTGGTCGCATAACTATTAAGCGTCTCATGCGTTGGAACATAACCTCATTCCACAAGACTCCCAGTGCTCCTTACGTGTTGCACGGCCGTGTTCAAATCGCCGCTGATGCGTAAATTTTTCCAGGGCATTGCGTTTTTGCCCGCCCGGTGCCGCTTGCACGTTAAATCGTCGCACACGCTGCACGAGTGCCTTAAAGTCTTTCTCGCCAAAAATTTGGCGTTGTAGAACGTAATCAGCTTCTCCGTGTACCATGATAACACGTCCTGATACTCGACGATCGCGTAGGAAACCGCGTAGCCCAGCGCATAAGACGAGAAAACTAGAATCCCGGACAGCGGACTGAAATACACGAAAGTTAGGCGCAATCCAGGCCGTAAATTGCGCTAAACCAACCTGAAAAAAGCGCTCGAAATCAAACAAAGCGAAACGATGGCGCAACACGACAATCTAACGTGATTGTCGCTCGCAATGCGCCCGATTATTTCCGCGAAACCACCCCAAATCATTTTGCATCATTTTGCGATGACAGATGACCCAAACAAACCACAGACTAAGATAACCCATCTCAAATTTCGTTCTGCTGAACTGTCGTTGAACTGGCTTCCGAATTATTAAGAACACTGCGACCGTGGACAATGATTGAATATTTGCGTTCTTATTTTTTTAGTGTTGCTTAGTTTTGTTTTTGATGGGCGTGCTAAAGAAGAGGTAGGTGATTACTGGTTAATGATTTCACCTGCGGAGCCATGTTCACCGGCTGTCTAGCCGTTAGTGGAAGACTCGCATACCAATTTGTGTTTCGTGCTCCGTGACGTCGCGAAGATGGCGTGCGTCATTTCGTGAAGACGTGAACCGTTTGCGTTTTTTGTTCCTAATATTTACGACGAGGAACGGATAATAAATGCGAACCAAGTAGCGCCCTATCCGATGACATGACTGACTTGAAATACTCATCACGAGATACTCTGACCGACTCGCTGATCGCCGACTCGAAAGCTACGAAGAACGTCTTCAGGAGCAACCTCAAGCTATCGCTCGGCCTCAAAAACGGCTACAAGAGCATCCAATCGAAGAGCAACGAGGATCTTTACGGCAACGAGATCGAACCCGAGGAACCACGCGGCAATGTCGGCGACCAAGATTCACCTGTTCACGAGACTTGGTTCAAAACGTGGCCCGAGCGTTGCGACAAGATCAAAAGCGCGGACTCAAGCCCCGAGCGCGACGTTTACAAGTTCCGTGTTGGCAACCGGATGACGTTGAACGAGGCGCTGAAAAACATATCGCTCGCCTACAGTCCCGTGACGAAGAAACTGCACCTAATCGAAACCCGCGGCGATGAGCCGCGAGCGGAGCCCTCGAGCCCCAAAAAGGGCCATAAACGGACGGAAGCCGGCTCGTTTTCGAGCACGGTCAGCGAGCCGTCCACTTCTGGCAGTATACAGGACATGGAAGACCGGTCCCTGATGAGTGTCGACGAGTCCGAGACGCGGAAGACGAGCCTGGCCGATTTTTTCACCAAGTAAAAACGCTTCGCTTATTCGGGGCGTCGTCTACGTGCGTGTTTCAGGAGCGTCTTCGCGTGGAAACTGTTCAAAACCGCCGAGTCCGCGTCTTCGCCCACGCACAAGGTGGCGAGCTCGTCCGCGTTGATCCAACACAAGAGGCCCCATAATCTCCCCGCGAAGCCCTACGACGAGGAGCAGCGTCACGCGGACGAGTACAACGCCATTTTGGCCGCGGCAAAGCGAAAAGAAGCCAAAGACACGGCGACTAAGCAAAGGAGGCAGAAGCTGCAGCTGCAGCTTGAGGAACAGCAGGCGGCTGCCGCGAAACACTTCGCACAGCATGTCATACCGAATTGGACTGAAATGTGAGATTGGGTGGGATCCTGAGTGGCCCGAATACGATTCTCGGTTCCAGGGAGAAAACGAAGAAGACGCAGGAACTGTGGTGGAGGGGGCTGCCTTCAAGCGTGAGGGGCCGCGTCTGGAAACTCGCCATCGGCAACGAGCTTAACGTCACACCTCAGCTGTATGAAATATGCGTGAGTCGCGCGCAGTCCCGGTTGAACCGCGCGCAAGGGGGCGTCGAAAGGGGGCCAGCGGCAGACCGCGAGAACAGCCTCGACGTCATCGAGCTGGACATTTCGAGAACGTTCCCGAACTTGGGCATTTTTCAACAGGGACGTCCGTATTCGGACGCTTTGCACTCGCTGCTCGCCGCCTACGCTTGTTTCAGGTGAGTTTATGCGAGACGGGACGTTTGAACTACCGCGCTCGAGAAAAAGCTTTTTTGTTTAATCGATTTCTTGAAAAATATTGTAAGAAATTAATAGGCGGACTCTCGTTGTATTGTGATAGGAAATGATCGATGGCTATATTCAATTGCGCCGCGGGACGTTTGAACTACCATACGTGCAGTATTCTGGTGAATTTTGGAAACGTTTGAATATGAAACTAGTGTTTTTTTTTTAATTTAATTATTTGGTGACGGCGCCGGTTAAACGAAAAATATTACGTAGGCCTTTTTAGGAAAATTAGATCAAATGAGTTCCCAGATGAACCGCGAACGACGCGTTTGAACTACCGCGCGGGATAACCGAATTCCGTCTTTCAAATAAAAAAAATCGAAAAAATGTTTTGAAATCGAAATTCATCATTTTCGCATAGGGATACAGCGTTTGTGTGAGTTATGGGAATGGGTACGTTTGAACTATCGCTATGATTAAAGCGAAACAATAAGGGAGAGTAAAGTTTCTTGCATTTATGAATAATAAAATTGCAAAAAGTAAGCTGTAAAGGATTTTTCATTTATTAACAATTAACACGATTGATTAAACAATATATGCACACATTTATTTATGTATTTTCCAACAGGGTTTAGGTGAATTTTTGGGGATATGGTCGTTTGAAGCGCTTAAAAGAGGCGAAGAAAATACTTTTGCATGGGGAAAAGTGAAAAAATAATTTCATTTGTTAATTAAGTGAACTGATTAAAAAAATCTAGTAGGCTTTTTTTTGAGAACCAAAATTTAGTGCACACGTCAAAATGTGACATTCACAATAGGGATGCAGCGTTCGGGCGAATTATGGCGATGGGTACGGTTGAACTATCGCTAGGTTAAAAAGGAAAAAATAAGAGATCTTTTTTTTTTTTTTTGAAAAAAATAAAATAAAAATTTATGGCTCATGTCGGTTTTCGTAGTAAACTTTTTAATAAAAAGCGGAAACTAGATTTTTTTTCTAAGACTGTTGATTAAATAGTAATATTCCTTTTTTGAAAAAAAAAAGTGTTCTCTGCTTCGCAAATTGAATATTTTCCAACAGTTGCAATGTTCGGGTGAGTTCCGAGCATAGGGACGTTCGAACTACTGCTTTATCATATTTTAAACCACTTAAATCTGAGCATGGATGCGATTTTACAGGCCGGACGTGGGCTACGTCCAAGGCATGTCCTACATCGCGGCCGTCCTCATCCTAAATATGGATCCGTGCGACGCTTTCGTCAGTTTCGCGAACTTGCTCAACCAACCGCTCCACCTGGCGGCGTTCACGCTCAACCAGACGCAAATGCAGACCTACTACCGCGCTTACGACCTCGTTTTCAACGGCAGCCTGCCCAGGCTGTACTCGCACTTCGAGGCTGCCGGGTTGACGCCCGACCTCTATCTCCTCGACTGGATCTATACGATCTACGCGAAGGCGATGCCGCTGGACGTCGCTTGTCGCGTCTGGGACGTATTCCTGCGCGACGGCGCCGAATTTATTTTCAGGGCCGCGCTGGGCATCCTGCACCTGTACGAGTCGACGCTGCTCACGATGGATTTTTTGCACGGCGCGCAGTTTTTGACGCGTCTACCGGACGAAATGTCCTCCGAGCAGCTGTTCAAGAGCATCCAGTGCGTCAGCACCAGCTTGGGCAAGATGTCGTTCGGGCAGGTAGTTCAAAAGTGCTGCAACCACACGGCCGTCGACGCGTATCGGTAGTAGCGGGCGCCCATCTTTCGTTTTCTCCCTCCCCCTTCCACGACGAGAATCTCCCCGCGGCGCGTTTGAATGTTTCTACGTTAATGTCAAGCTAAACTCGAATTTGGCGTATTTAGGAGCGGTACGTTTGAACCACTAGCATATAATCAGTTTTCGCCATGTTTACCGTCGAAAAACTAATTGTTAAGTGTAACTCGAATTTGGTGTGTTTAAGGACCCACTCTACTGTCCTTTTCCGCCGTCAGCGCCGATGCTGTAGCGCAATCCGGTCGCGGTTCGTTTGAACTACTCGCCTATAGCGCGTCGCACGATCGTTACTCAACAAAATACGCCGAATTTGAATAGTTCAAAGCTATTGTCAACTCTAATCCGAATTTGGCGTATTTAGAGACGCACTATACCGTCCATAACCGCCTCCAAGAACTGACTCGTTACGGCAACTCGTTTGGGGTACGTTTGAACTACTCGCGTTTTTTACTGACAAAAAGCGTTGTCAAATATTCATCCATTTTTTCGTCAATGTTTTGATTTAACTGAATTTAGAATATTTAAAGACGCACTGTACCGTCCTTTTCCGCCCCCAGAAGGTGCAATCTTGTCGCGATACGTCTGAACTACTCGTTATTGTTCGTCGCGCGATTTTCGCGGAGTTTAAATAGTTCAAAGCGAATATCAACTCTACTTCGAATTTGGCGTATTTAGGGGCGCACTATACCGTCTCCTAGCACCGATTTGCGAAACTTGCGGGAATTTTGGCGATATGTGAATGTGAAGTTACAAATCGCGGTGGACTACACGGAATTTGAATTTCGACCCAAACCCAACTTGTATTTTATCTGTAACTGTGGTTTGGGGTCGTGGTGCATTTGAACTACTCGTGAACGGAACAAAAAAAAACGCAATCCGCTCGAACAAAGGAATATTAGACGTTAAGTGACGCTCCCGCTTAACATATATTTTAGGTTTATTTATTTTAGAGACGTTATTGAGAAGAAAAAAAAAACATGTGATATTTATACATTATACTTTTTAAAAAATATATATTTTTTAAACATTTGTTTTCGTGTCAGGCCCAGTAAATAGTTTGCGCTTCGATTTGCCTTTTTTGTTTCGCCCTCCCGCAACGCAAATAAAATCAACGCGACATTTTTCAAACGTCGTTTAATAAACATCGTGGAAAACATCAAAGCGCGAAACGCTCTCTCACAGCTTGTGCTTCGGTCGGATCCAGTCGAGTATCTGCGGCGCGTAGTACGTTATGATGACGTCAGCGCCTGAAACGCGAACGCGTTACGTTCAGTTCTCCATCCGGCCTCTTAACTTACCTGCTCGCCTGTAACCGCGCAGGATCTCCATCAGGCCGTCCTGCAGGCGAAAAATCCCGTCCCTGGCGGCGTTGTAAATCATCGCAAACTCCCCCGACACCTGGTAGACGAACACAGGGTACTCGGGGTATTGATCCTTGACCTGTTTGAGCACGTCCGCGTACGCCATTATCGGCTTGACCATCAGCATGTCCGCCCCCTCGGCGACGTCCCTCGCGGCCGCCCTCAGGGCAATGCCGGCCGCGTCCGGAGGCAGTTGGTACCGCTTCCGGTCTCCGAATGCGGGACTCGACTTGGCGGCTTCCCGGAACGGTCCGTAGAACGCCGACGCGAACTTGCACGAGTACGACAACACCGATACGACGTTGCCAAGTTTGTGGTCGACGAGCGTTTGCTTTATGGCGCCGACGCGGCCGTCCATCATGTCGGACGGCGCGACGATATGGGCTCCCGCCTTGGCGTACGCCAATGCGATCTGGGCTATACGCTCGACGCTGGCATCGTTGTCGATGGTGCCGTCTCGATGCAAAATGGCGCAGTGGCCGTGCGACGTGTACGGGCACAGGCACACGTCACACGCGACGGTCAGGTCAGGAAACCACCGTCGCAGCTTCGGCAGCGCCCGAACCACCGGGTTATCTGGTCTATCGGCGCCGTCGCCGCTTTCGTTCTGTAAATTCGTGACGTCATAATATGCGACGGATTTAGCTTTCAGACGTTTCTCCGAGCATGCCGTTTGCTTCTTCAGAGCTTAACTGGTTTGCATTCTACCCTACCTGGTGAGAGGGGGAGGAGCAAAGAAGTTGCATGATAATAATAATAATTTTAAATTATTGCTCGACGGGTTTAGACAAAATTACTTATTACAAACTAAGGTACAGTAGAACCCCGATTATCCGTGGCTAACGGTAGAGGTTTGCAGCGCTGCATGCAATGTGTCGTTCTTTTCGGGGAATCCGTAAATCGGTGTCGGGGGAATGATTTAACTTAACCTATTATATTTGCCGAGTACTGATCGACCGGCTCGTTAGTTTGGGTTAGTTAGTTAAACGTAAACAGAGACACAAAATGGAGCAAAAAATGGAAATTTTAAGGCAATTTGAAAATAATTTAAGTGTCTGTGTTGGCTTAACATTGGAAAACAAATAGTTCGTGACACTGTAAAGAGAAAAGCCAGATTACAGAGTTTTGTAGCTAAAGCAGATAGTGCTAAAGCTATTGCTGATCGAAAATCATTAAAAGGATCCACTTTTCGACAACTTGATGATGCTATGAGCAGGTGGTTCTTGAAGAAGAGATCGGAAGGGGTTCCGATATCAGGGCCTATGTGTGCTAGGCAAGCTGAAAAGTTTCAAAGGCAACTTCTAGGCATCTTCTGGTTGGCTTTACAGATTTCACGGAATTGGCTGCTCAAGTTGAGAAATTAAGTGCTGATGACGTCGCTATGGCAGAATTTTGCTATGATTTTGAAAATCTTTTGACGGAGCACGACCTAAAACCTGAGCAAGTGTATAATGGGGACGAAACTGGACTTTATTGGAAAGCAATGCCAAAAACAACACTTGCTGCAGACTCAGAAAATGCACCGGGTTAGCTTTACACACATACACATATTTTGTTGAGTGTTTTTTTTTAATTTTTGTAGGTTTCAAAGCAAGCAAAGGACGTGTAACAGTTTTGTGTTGTGTCAATGCCTCGGGAACGCATAAGCTTAGGTTAGCTGCTATTGGAAAATCAAAAAATCCGAGGACTTTTAAAAATATAAAAACACTGCCCGTTGATGTTGACTCAAAATAAATAAAATAGGGCTGTAGCTCTAGTAATATTCAGCGTTTAAATTTACAAGAATTATGCTGTGGCATATTCAGATTGTTTTTCGTCCTGGGCCATCTTTAAGGTACGTTAGCAAAGAATATTTCATGACCTTAAATACACAACAATTGCGAATAAAAATTGAAACAGATATTTGATTTTCAGCCATTTCATAGCAAATATTTTTTCTGATATACGACCAAACTTTCTCAAACCATATACAAATCGGGCACAGTTGTTCTGAATTTTTTGTAATCTTGATTTATAAATAACGGGTTAAGAATGGATAGTTTAATGGCAGACAGTATATAACTTGGATATACAATATATTTATATATATATATATATATATATATATATATATATATATATATATATATATATATATATATATATAATTTGGATATATTCTTTAGATTAGACGCAAAGTTAAGATTTTTTTTATTAAAACATGAATGATTGAACTGGGGTTTACTTGTGCTAAACATTTAAATGTAATGAAAAGTGAAATACTTGTTATGTCTAACAGGAAAATATGATGATCTAGATAAAAGTATTGAACACAAATAAAAAAAGAAAAAGTGTGATACGAAGAAGTTATAGAAAATTCAGCATTTATCGCAAAAAAAAACTTTATCGACAGCATCTATATTTTTATTTTTGTTTCAATTTTAAGAACTGCTATTTATGTAAAGCATTATAAATAATGTGGTTTATTTTTAGAACTTTCTCTTTACTTACTTACGATTTTCGTTTTTTACAGTTTTAGTCAACTGTTATTTAATTCATTATTTGTTATTTGTTGCTTTTCTTTCACTTTTGAAAATTTTTGTTTTTGTTTCAAATTTAGGCAACTGCTATTTCAATATTTTACTATACTTTTTACCTTGAGGCGTTAAACATTGTTTTATTTTTAAAACTGATTGTTCTGCTTTAAAACGGACTACGTTTGTCGTTTATTTTACTTAAAATTAGTATAAAGACATTCTGGCATGACCGTTGCGTACTTTTCAACTGAAACCTTATTTTTTTTGGTAAATATTTTTAACATTTATTTAAAAAATACATATGAAAAAATTGATTCAAAAAATATATGTAAATTAACTTTGCACTTCTTCCTACTCTAGAATTTTTCCTGGAGGTTTACTACAATCTACAACCAGTACATGGCAGAAAACCCGTGCTTATAGAAAGTTGGTTCACACTGTAGTTAATAGTGGCACTTGATAACAAAGATGGCCACAGGTTTAACAACTCTCTCTTAGGTTCTTTCTCTATGCTTACAGCATTCCGTGGATATGATGCAAAGATTACATGGAGAAACTGATGGAAAAATGAAAAAAGGGCTAAAGAAATATGAAAAAGCCATAAATTCATCAGCAGTTACCAAACACGATCACTATAGAAATTTAAACCACCAATCTAAAGTCTACCTGTCACCAATATAGGAATCGGTCATCTGAGACAACGATCTGTGTGGTCCGCTTGCTTAGAGGCATGAGTTTGTCTCAAGAAATTCTAGTAGAAGCTTTTACTTTATTTTTTATTCACGCCATCCAATTGGCTTCACCCCCTCAAACGGTATATAAGCTGGTAAAGAGTAGAACGCAAGCTCTGAAGGGTGATTGCCGAAACGTAAGCAAGCAAGACAATGGGTAAATAGAATTACAATGGAGGCTTCTTTGAAAAATTAACCATACCTACAAAAAACGTTGAATATTAAATAAAAACATGGCAAGACCCGAAAAACACGTTTTTCCTAAGTGAAGTCTAAGAATAAAAGAACTAAAGATATAACTAATGGGTTTCTTGAGACTGGCCAAAGATTAAGGACATCGTGTTTTTTGCAGATTGCTATTTAACATTTTGTAAATTTTGACAGTAATGCCATAATCATCACGTTGATGTTTCGGAACAAAAAGACGTTAGAAAAACGCGTGGTTAAGTATCTGGTGGCCTAAGCAGATACTGCGTACCTTGGGTAAGTTGTCGACGACACCGAACACCAGGATGGCAAGGAGACCGTCACGGACCAAAGGTTCGAGGTGCCCCCGTAGCTTGTCGACGCCGTAACGTTTGACGCCCGGCATGCTGGGCACGTCTTGCTCGTCATCGTCGTTCTCCCTTGCGTGAAACGCATGTCTGTATTGCCAATGACGTCCGCGGAAAATTACTTACGTGATGAACACCGGATACATCAAATTCTTGGCCGTTACGTCGCATTTGGACGACTGCCAGCCGCGCAGGGTCTCGTTGAATATCCCGCTTTGCAGGATGCGGTTCCTTTTTACGGAATACGCGCGGACCTCGGACATTTTCGACGATCTTGCGTGCGTCGGAAAGCTAGGTTATGTGCGGCCACGCGCGACATCCGACGAGGAAGTGCTCGAAATGCCTATCGCAAAATCGTCGATTCATTTTGCCTATCGTTTAACCACTTTGTAGAATTCGAAAGCCGCGAGCGACGCCGCATATTTAAAGGACGCGTGAAAGTCAGCGTCATAGAAAAAAATCGGTCAGTACGCGCGACGTCATCGCTTGCCCGGTTCGCGTTTCTTCGGTCCGTGGCGTAAAACGTCCGGTGTAACTCGGCGAAGGTTTGCTCGACCAAATGCGGCCTGACGTCATCGCCTAGTCGTAGAAATCGCGGCCTGCGTTCCAGTCTTCGCGATGTGGCGTTGCTTGACACTTTATCTGGTAGTGTCTGCGTCAGCGGCGTCCGACTACTACCAGAGGCGCGCCGTTCTGATCGAAAAATCGCAAAATCGCTCGATCGGCGCGGACCTCGTGCTTAACGCGGACGAAAGAAAAGTGAACCGACTCCTGATGCAGCTCAAGCACCGCGAATTCGACGCCGGGTTCAAAGACCCGGAAAAATTCCTGCCGCTGCGGCATTTCTTCCTCGCGCGAGACAACATCACCAGATCCGGCGTGTTTAAACTCATCAGGCAGATGCCCAAGGGCGCGTCCCTACACTCGCACGACCTGGGGCTCGTGTCCGACGCTTACGTGTTTCATAACCTCACTTTCCGGAAGAATCTGTGGGCGAAACCGGACCCGGAGGGGCGGTACACGTTCAGGTTCTCCCGCACCGTACCAGACGACGACGGGTGGGAAGAGGTGGACGCCCTTAGGCGTTCCGACCCTTCGTTCGACGCCCGGCTCAGGGCTCAGCTGACGCTCGTAGTCCCCGATCCCTTTACCGCGTACTCCGACATCGACGTCATCTGGCGGGTGTTCGAGGGCGTCTTTAGAAGCGTCGGTTCCTTGCTCGCCTTCAGGCCCGCGTTCGAGGACTACTTTTACCGCGCTCTCGAGGAACTCCACGAAGACAACGTCAAATATCTCGAGTTCAGGGGCCTGCTGCCCGAAGTCTACGACCTGGACGGCCGAGTCTACACCCCCGAGGAGGTGCTCGGTTTGTACGACGCGACCGCTACGCGTTTCAAGCGGGCACACCCGGATTTCGTCGGTGTCAGGTAATGCATGACGTAACAGCTATGAGCTGATAGGTCTTCTTCTTTTTTTAAAAAAAGGCGCTTAGCTTAGAAGTAACCGGCTTTTATTATCGCTACACCAGGTTCATCTACGCGCCGAGTAGGCGCGTCAACGCGAGCGTCGTAGCGGACTACGTCGCGCTGTACGAGCGGCTCCACGCCGGGAAATACTCGAAATTCCTGGCCGGATTCGACCTAGTCGGCCAGGAAGATCTCGGGCGAACGCTGCTCGATTTCGTGCCGCAACTCTTGACCCTCGGGAACCGCACGAAGTTCTTCTTTCACGCCGGCGAAACCGACTGGTCCTACGAGCCGTCCGACCTCAACCTGTACGACGCGGTCCTATTGAACGCTACGCGTATCGGTCACGGCTACGCCATTTTGAAACATCCGGAACTGTTGCGGATAGTCAAGGAGCGCGCGATCGCGATCGAGGTGGCGCCCATATCGAATCAGGTGCTCAAACTAGTAGACGACGTGCGAAATCACCCGGCAAACTTCCTCGTCGCCAACGGGTACCCGGTGGTGATAGCGTGCGACGATCCGGGCCTGTGGGGCGCCAGGGGGCTCAGTTTCGATTTTTACGTCGCGTTCATGGGGTTATCGGGACGCGAGGGCGACCTGAGGCTGTTGAAGCGGCTCGCCATCAACTCGATCGAGTACAGCAGCTTGGACGAGAGGCGGAAGAGGTACGCGATGAAACGGTGGCGCCAGGAGTGGGACCAGTTCGTCGCGGGCGTGATCCGAAGCTCGGAGACCGAATAAAAGATCGAATTCGGAGGATTCGGCGTTTTATTTAACGCGTGGGGAAGTTTTTACCTAATATTTTCCTTCTTCTTCTTTTATAAACTTCAAACCAACATTATAATTGTTTTGTGATTTTTGCAAGCGGCATTTTTCCTTACTATCAATAGAAAATGTTATCGAAAGGAAATCCTTTTTTTTTCTAGCACTTTTCGAAAATACTTTTCTAAATGGCTGTTATACTGAAAAAATATTATTCATTTAATTTGATTTATATGAAATTATTAAGAAAAAATAATAACAATCGTTGAACTGAGGTAGCTTTTACTTTTATTAAGAAAAAGTAATAATAGTCGTATTGTTACAACAGTTTTTTTTTAATTTTCTTCTTTCTTTTTTGTGACTTTTTCAAGCGCCATTTAAAAATGCCTTTGGTTCATATATTTCTTTGTTACTATCAATAGAAGACTCATTTTTCAATGTTTGTTTGCATTTTCTCTCCTGTGAAGCGTGAAATGTATCGAAAGGAAATCCTTTTTTTTCTAGAACTTTTTAAAAATACTTTTCTAAATGGGTGTTATACTGACAAAATGAATTATTTGATTTTGATGTATTTTAAACTATTAAGAAAAAGTAATAATAATCGTATTGTTATAATTTTGATTATCAAAAATCGCGTTTTTAACGCGGGAGACATTTTTTGTTTGTAAACTTTAATTTTTTTTATTTCCTTTTTTCTCTTTTGTGATTTTTTTAAGCGCGAGATACCTTTGGTTCAAATATTTTTTGTTACTATCAATAGAAGACGCATTTTTCAAGATTCGCTCGCCTTTTCTCGTCAATGTTATCTAGGGGAAATCCTTTTTTTCTTTAGCACTTTTTGAAATTTTTTGTTCTAAATAGTTGTTATACAGGCAGAATGAATGATTTGATTTGGTTACATTCAAAAGACGTCCGCATGAGACATTTTTTATTTGTAAATTTTATTTTTTTTTAATTTTTCTTTCCTCTCAGTAATATGTATCGCTAACTTCTGCGTCCACCGTCCCCCTTCTGTTTCTTTTATATACTTTAAACCAACGTTATAATTGTTTTGTGCTTTTTTCAAGCGCCATTTAAAAATACCTTTACTTTAAATATTTTGCAGGGTTTGCTCGCGTTTTCTCCTTTCTTTGAATGGTAAAATGTTATGGAGAGGAAATCCTGTAGCACTTTTTAAAAATACTTTTCTAAATGTTTACAATTTTGGTTAGTAAAAAATTGAATGTAAAGACTTTGTTGTTTTTTTTTGTTTATTTTTTTTTTTGCTTGATAATAATAATAATAACATATCCTGTTTTATAAAAACAGACCATATAATTTCATGATTATTTATTTAACGAGTGGGACACTTTTTATTTGGATTTTTTTTTTATTTTCCTTTTTTTCGCATTTGTAGCTATAGCTTCTTCGGCCACCGAACCCATGGTTCTTTCATATACTTTAAATCAACTTTATGGACAAAGGACACATGACAAATTTATTGTTTGTCATTTAATCGATAGTATTCTTAAAAAATAATAATAATGCTTGCTATTGGTAATAATTCTGGTTCGTTTTGGTCGGTAAAAGGCCGATTGTAAACGTGTTGGTGTTTTATGTAAAGACGGGTTCATTTGTTATTAATTTTCGTTCCCTTTATTTTTTTTTTCTCAGTAGTACTTAAAGATAACTTCTGCGTCCACCTTCTTTTTTCATATACTTTAAGTCAAGGTTATATATTGTTGTTATTAATAAAAAATAATAACAATCGGTGATTATTATCAGTTTTTTAATTGAAATTATAAAAAAAATCGTATTGTCCATAATTTTAATTAGTGAAAAAGGCTTTCGTGTTTCATTTAACGCGTGACGCATTTTTTATTTGTTTATTTCCGTTATCATTATTTTTCTTTTTGCTTGGCAGTAAGTGTAGTGTGCGTCAACAGTCTCCCTTCTTTTTCTTCTAGTTCTGATTAATAAAAGATGGGTCGTAAGAGATTGTTTAACAATTTTTTATTTTTACATTTTCCTTTTCAATCCTTTTTCAGTAGTAGCTAACATCTGTATCATATATATCATCTGTAGCATATCCGACAATTCTAATTTGATTTAGTTATTAATAAAAATATATATAATAATCTCGTTAATAGTCACGATGCATTAATTAACAGTCCCGCATATTGGCGGTTGGAAATAAATAAAATATTTGCGAAATGAAATTATTTCCTAGATTTAAGCGGGCGTGTATGCAAACTCGAGGGGTCGGGGACGGGTGGGCGCGAAACCCGCCAAATTAAATAACGAAAAAGGAGACGTGCGTCCGACGCTTCATTATTTAAACAAAACGCGCTTTTGTTGCGGATTATTTATGCGGGGCTCGCGTTATAAACGCGGTTCGAAATTGATTGTTGAACGTATTTCATATTTTGATGACGCTGTTATTATAAAAAAAAATACCCGGCATTTCCGAATTAGAGGTCGCAATTTAACCGGGTGATTTTCGGTTTATAAATTAAAAAAGATATTTTCTGAATATAACGTAACGCTAGAGGCAAAACTGGACCACAAAATAAACTCCCGCCCTGATTTCCAGTGTGATTTATTTCCGTACAGTGGCCGCTCGTCGCCCCTAACCTCTTCACCAAAAAAGGCCTACCTAAAGTGATATTCGAAAAATATGTCGACGTGTGCCTATATAAAACGAAGAAATCTACCACGCGGGTGAAATACACAGCACGATTTACAGTGTGTTACAATTTTATTGTACATTTCGCGGCGGGGTAGTGGTCCTCGCACCACGCCCCAACTCTCACCGTCACCAAACAGCTCACGGGGTCGAAGTCCGATGCACGCGGTGCAAAACGACGTCGGCCGCCGCCCGCGGCGGTTCGGACGTCGTCTTCGACGGTCGGGGGCCGCATCGACACTTCAGCACCCACTGCACCGACAGCGTGATGAGACGCGCATCGTCCGAGTCGTATTTGGGCGGGAACTGGTCCGCCCACAGGTCCGCCCCCGGTTCTAGGTACTCCAAGAGCAAGTCCGACGGCTTCTCCGACGAACCGGCCCCTGAAACCACGCCCCCGCGTCAGTAGTGCCAAGACAAAACTAATAGTTTTTGTCTTGGAGACCGTCGAAACAGACGTTCCTCTCTTAGAAGAAGACATGGAAAATCACGCAGAATTTGAAGTGGTCGAACCTAATGACAATTTAGAAGACGAATTGCCTCAGCAAATAAAAAAAACGAAGCCATTTGTCTTTGGATGCTAAACTAATTGTTTGAATGTTTACAATTTTATAAGAAATTCGGATGGGGAAGTAGGAGCAGCAATAAAAACAAGTGATATGACCAACGTTCTGAAGTCAACTCAAAATGTCGCAAATGGTATAGTCAAGAGGAAAGTGAGAGAAGATGCTGGTAAACGCAGGTCTAATTAGGCGTAGTAAACTACGCCAAAAGTGCATTTAGACCAAACGTGGTAAGACACTCACCACAGAGAAATAACGTGCAAAGCGCATAATAATGCTGAGTCCAAAAATGGTTGGGTCGCAGATGCGTTATTTTTGTAAATTAGAAAAATTCCAAATACATCTTCATATAAAGAAGAAATTGAAGAATATCTGTACGAAAATGATATATATTTTAGAGAGCTACACGGGGTCGGTTGTAAAAGCACTATATTTCTGGTGGAAGTATACCTTCGCAGATGAAGTCGACGCGAACGGTGGTGCTGAGGGTGGGACTGCAGGTAGATCCCGGAGCCGGACAAGTGCCGCAGTATTTGGGCCGGAAGCGTTTCCTACTCCTGCAAGGGCCGAATCGCAGGAAGACCGCCTCGCCGAGGCGGTGCGTCGCCTTGCACTCGTGGCCCTTCTGAAACACCGCCCTTTAATTGAGCCTAGAGCAATTTCCTTCGAAATGGAAACCGCATCGTCGTAAAATGAAACCGATTAACAACCGGGAAATAACGATGGTTTAAGGAGACGCTGAAAAATCGCCGGCGTTAAATCACTACGGCCGTTAAGAATTTCGCGAGAGAAAACGTCGGGACTCACCCTCAGGTGATGTTGGCGTAAGCGATCCGACGTTTCGTCGTCGTCGTTCGCGCACCTTCTCGTCTGACAGATGCGGGTCTCCGTTTCAGGCAGACACCGCGCGTTCAGGTTCGACTCCCTGGACGACATCCCCGAGCCGCAACGGCTGCTGCAGCCCGTCCACCGGGAGAAGACCGGCTCGCAGGAGGGCGGCTGCTCTGCTAAAAGTTACGCGGGTTGTTCGTATTTGTAAATTCAACGGGCGTCGTCGAAAGGAAAATACTACAGGGTGGCGTCCGGAAATCGAGTTCGGAGACTTGCAGGAAACTTTCAACGTGGTAAATTAATGGCAGGAAGTCACATAACAACAATTCCGCGTTATTGCTTGTCAAAATAAAAGTGTTTCAGAAATCTATCGTTAGAGGGCGCTTTACCTAAAACTGCTGCGGCAAGAAGTGATGCGCCGCAGGTGGCTATGATTGTTACGTTCCAATTTCGATATTAGGTCATGTTTCCAGTAAAGTAAAGAATTACCTGTGTATTTGGGTTTTATTAGTTATTCCATTCTAGTGTGTTTGGTACTTTCCTCCAAATTAATCTTACTTTATGTTTTTGATTGCTTTCTTCCCTCTCTCTGGGAAGATAAATCAGTGGTTACTTTTTTCCTACCTTTTCCTCTGTGTTCGGATGTATAAATATGTAATGGTATGGCGGCAGGATATCGAAAAGACTCCTTTCACGTAATTATTGTTTTGCTGTTGTTCGAGCTGTAATGATATACGGTAGAATCAGCAATTATTCTTACATACATACGGCCGTTAGTTTTAGGGATTTGGAACGTGTATGCTGCGTTTAATTTGGTCGTGGTGCCTTATCTTACGTTTTGGGTTTGCCTTACGGTAATTTTTTTTTCTCGTTCCTCCATTTTGTTCAAAGCATGCCGCAATGCAGTATCTATGGCATTTATTTCTGCTACTTGCGTATTTTATATTGAAGTCAAACAATTCCTCTTCGTGAAGCCACCAAATATCGGACCGGCTTCTCGATTCTGTACGTTGCTTTACTGAGTGTTCCTTATATACATTTTTTTTTTAAATATTCCAATTTTTTAATTTAAATTTTCAAACGTGGCATGATATTCTCGTAGAGAAGGTGTGGATCTTTTGCGCATGCGTCACCCCCAACTAATTGAGCTGCCACATTGCCGCAATTATTCTGAAAAAATTGACTAATTTTCATAAGAACGCAAAATTAGTCTCTGAAATCCGAATATAATTGGCAACGCCGAGCTAGATAATTGCTATTGTCAGAGAATAGTAACAGTCTATGCCCTTGTTGTTTAAATTTTTGGTAGTTACGATTTTTTCGTGTTTTTGTGAAAATTTTGTTGTGTTTGTGGTCAAAACTGTAAGGAAAACAATGTGATTTAACAAACTGCAAGGATAGCTACACAGGAAAGATGTTTAGGTAATATGTTTTAGTGTACAAGAATTACAGCAAATATAAGAAAACAAGTTTTACTACAACAATCACAAAAAAAAGATAGAAGCGAATTTACAATAGCGGCCATTTTTATTTATCTCGTGGCCAGTTTAAAAGCTTCTTGGCTTCAACGGTTCCGATGTTATTCGCGTTTTTATGAAGCGTCTACAGAGAACGGAGAACGAAGAACGGACAAACAGACAAAAAAAAAATTTTCGACGCAACTAAAACCAACTAAAACCAGCGTGAAAACTTTCTAAAAATTCGATGTCACCGATTTTGTCGAAAGTAACGAGAGTAACAAATTTTGAGGATTTGTGATTCTGCTTAAGGCAATCTGTTCTATTTTGCAATATCAGTTTAAGTAAATAAAATACAAGTAAAATTTAAAAAAAAGTTCTAGGTAAAATGTTTGTTGTAAAATGTTTTAGTGAGTGACCTTTACTAAATCAGCACGCTGATTAGATATTTCCTACCAGGTTTCCGAACTCAATTTCCGAACGGCCCGTATACCTGTCTGGCTGTCGCACATCCACTCGCGACAACACTGTCCCGGCACATCGACTAGGCGAGGGTGCTGGCATCCTCGAGGCGATATGTATTCCTGGGGGCACAGCGAAGAACAGCCATAGGTGCCATTCTGAAACAGTTCGGAGTCGTTTTTCCAAGGCCCTTTAACGGGTTTTCCGTGATAAGCGATTAATTAGAACTGAGGTTGCTTTTACTTGATGAAAATCCATTTATCACAATAAATAAGAACTAAAAATTCAGATTTTCATGAAATTATATGTTTTTACATGACAATTGTTTCGACAACACCGCGTCTGACCATAAAACCTTAATTAATGTTATTGTGAGAATTTAATTTCAATAATGGAGAGATATTGAATGTCTCATTTTGTTAATCTCCATGACTTCCAATAATTTAACTTTCTACTTTTTAAGAAAGAATTCAATTGTCTGTCCGTTCCAACAAATGAAGCAAAGACATCATCGATGTATCGATGTTCTAGTATGATATTTCCCAAATTATCCATAAAAATCTCGGCTAACGAAGCACTAAGTGGGTTTCCCATAATCAAACTTTCTTTAGAGATGTAAATCTGTCCATTAAATTCAAAATAATTTTGGTCTAAAGATACTATTAAGCAATCTAATTAATCTTGTTTCACCAAAGGGTTAACCTGTTTCCGAGTTAGGGTGAAATCTACTAAATCCATCTCATCCATAGGTGGAATACTGGGAAATAAGTTTTGTCCATAAAAAAACAGTTCCAAACATTCCTCCTAATTGCCTAATTGTAATGGACAATGCAAGTTATCACAGTAGACAGTTGACTAAAACCTCTTCCTCATGTGACACAAAAGCAACAATCCAAAACTACATGTACAATAACGAAACCGAAGTTTTTAACATCCCTCCACAAAGTTGGGCAAATTCTGTTAAACTTACAGAAAAAGCAGAACAATCGTACATACATATTGCAAATAATATAGAACAAATAATAATTAGAACAGGCGATGATAGCGATAATGATACTAATATATTATGTATATTATAAATATTGTGTAGTATCTTTCCTAACAAAACCTCAAATAATTAAATTCTAAGCCAAGTACGGACCTGTTCGGCCATATTTCATTCTTACAGCTTGCCCGGGCGTTTCCTTAGTTCGGATCAGTTAGTCACTTATATCTATGAACAGACTTTAGCTATGATCAGATAAAAACAATTGCCATGATACACAAGCCCAAGTGTCAAGCTATAAACATGTTTGAAAACTTTGGAAAGTACATGATAAAATGTTATATTAAAAGTAACGAAAATCGACAGACGGCGTTAAAACTATATTTCCAGAGATATCCGGAAAGAACGCAACCTAGCTCAAAAATAGTTATGAAGTTAAAACATCGTCCACAAGAATACGGATCTTTTGCCAAAACCGCGGCCTAGGACATATAGAAGCCTAGCCAGAGATAGAGAGTTGCAAGAACTAACTATGAACTATGAACTAACTATGAAGAGAAACACTGGAATTCCACGTAGCAATACCGTGCGGGTGCTTAAAAACACATGTTAAGGCCCTATCGACCCGACGAGTGCATCAATTACGGCAACGAGATTTTTCTCCAAGACGTGCATTTTGCAGGTGGCACCTAAATAAATGCCAAGAAGACCCCGATTTTACCAGGAAAGTTATTTGGACGGATGAGGCGACGATTTCTGGAAACAGCAAGTTCCCCATGCTATGGTGGAACAAGCGAATCAAGGAAGGTTCAGTTTTAAGGTATATTGGGCCATCTATTTTTGATGGAAATTTAAATGCCGAAAGGTACCAACAAATTCTAGAAGAGCAGGTAATTCCGTCTATCGACAATTTACCGCTTCAGCAAAATAATGAGCTGTACTTTTTCCCAAAACTCTATTCTTAAAATTAAACAAGTTATAGAGGACCTTTAAAATCGCACAGTTCTGAGAATCACCCACTCTGTAGCTCAAACACGCCTTGACATATCACGATGCGGTTTTCAGTTTTCCACTTAAAGCCACAGAGGCCCCTGGAATTTGAACCACCCTGTACATTACGGCGACAAGGGGCGAGTCTGCGCGAGTAGTCAAAGTGACGTCAGACGAGTTTCGCGTTTGTTTTCGACGGGGGTGCGGGGTGCCCGGCGGGCGAAGGGCCCCCGCATCGTACAGAACGCTCCCTTTCGGACGGTTAATGAATTTTTCAACGCGAGAGCGTGTGCGCCGTATAGATAAAACCCGATAGCCTACAAAAATATCCCAAGTATGTTCCCGATCCGATTGACCGCGCTCAATTTTAATTGAATAAATTTCGATGCCCCCCGCTCCCCGCAGGGAAAACAACGGACTCGTCCATTTTACCGACCAATCGATTGGAAAATAGAACTGAGCGTTGATTCTTTTTTTTTTACACAATGTTCTTAAAAATGTCAAAATAGTGTTATAAAACATAAAAAAAAAATAAAAAAAAACTTTTTTGCTATGAAATTATTTATTTTGTCGCACTTAAGAATACATTACATATACATTTACCTGGCACACGCATTGCGTCCTGCAGTCGAGATTGAACGTCTCTCCGTGTCGATACGTCCTGTTGTACACCACGCACGGCACCCCCGACGATTCTGCAACACAGGACGGTGTAGGTTTCACAACGTGACAGGTTACGACGCCCACCTTGCTATTCTTTCTATTTAATATTTCGTCCAATTTTTTCTACGAAAGCCCTCACTCTTATGGACGTTTTTAGCTTTAGCACACCTGCATATTGGAAATAAATTTCGATGATTTTTTGTTAAACTTAAGGAAAAATTCCATGTGTCAGGAGAGTTATTATGAGAAATATTTATTTCAAGTAATATTTCGATACTTTTTACAAAACTTCTGGATTCATCTTGTTCGCTTCTTCAGAGATTGACTGAAACTGGATCGAATTTTACTAAGTACCTGTTTACATATAGTTTGAGGGGGGCGGAGCTAAATGAGAGGCATAAACACCGTCTCGGATGACTGATTCCCATATTGGTGACAGGTAACGATTTGAGTCGCGGTTCTTTCGTTGATGGAAGAATTGATTACATGATAAAATTTTATGTAAGTTTCGTGATTGTGTTCGGCAACTGCTGTTGAGTTTGTTTGTCTTAGTCTTAAAGCTATTTCATGTTCTTTGAGTCTAGTTGATATTTTTCATCTCTCCAATGGTGCAAACTCCTGGCATCTCGAATGGAAATTTATCTTTGACAGATCGAAGATGTTGAGAGATTTTTGGACAAGTGGTAAATCTGGTTTTGACGTTATACTTCTTTGCAACTTTTGAAATGTGGTCAGTAATATTTTGAATGTAAGTTAGGACAACAGCGGCAAGTATGGGATTGCTTTCATTGCTATTGGAAGATTATGGTGAGGTGTAATTTGTGATGGAACGCATAATATCTTCAATGTGGTAATTATTATTGGGAAGAGTAGAGGAAATTTGTTTTAATGCTGGATTCAGTGACTCGGGCTGAGATAGTTTTACGACTCTGTAAACAAGGGAGTTGATAACCGACGATTTTTGGGTCGCATGGTGATGTGACAATGCGTAGGTTTTCTGTAAATACAATGACCCAATGTGAGGTCTGATTTTCCATTGATAAGAATATCTAACAATGGGAGGTTATTATTAGTTTTCAATTCAATGGTAAAACGTATGTTAGGGTATGTAGAGTTTAAATGTCCAAGAAAATCTTCTAGGGCTTCTTGACAGTAAGGTCAAATAACAAAAGTATAATCGACGCAGCGTTTCCATAATATTGGTTTTACATGGAAGGTATAGAGAGCTTTCTACTCAAAGTCTCCCATAAATACATTCGCAGTGACTGATGATAGTGGAGAACCCATAGCTGTTCCCGACGTTTCTTCAAAAATTTGACCGTTATAAGAACAATATGCCCCAGGAAAGCATTTTTCAATTAATGTGAGAATTTTTGGTTCCAGATTTTTAATATATCTGAAATGATGTCGAGAATTTCGGGAATAGGAACTTTGTTAAAGAGGAATTTTACGTCGAAACTAACCAGAATATCTTGTGCATCTAATTTAATGCTTTTTAATTGTTCAATGAAGTGAAAGGAATTAAGTACAAAACTATCAGTTTTCAGTAGAGGGTTTTATTAAAGAAGCTAGATATTTTGCTAGAGGATCTGTTGGAGGGGTAATCCTGGTTTGTGAATCTTTGGAGAGACCGGACGAACAATATCAACTAGGCTCAAGAAGTTGCCGAACACAATTACTATATATAAACAGGTACAGAGTAGAATGCTAACCAGTTTTAGTCAAGCTCTGAAGAAGCCAACAGCGAAACGTTAGCAAGTTCGACTGAAGAAAAACCGACGCAGGAGGAATCCAGAACTTTTGTAAAAAGTATTAAAATAGCCTGAGGAAGTTTCTTTGAAAAATTAATATTTCGATAATTTTCGCATTCAGCTACCGTTGCGGACATTTATATACCGATAGAAGCCTTTGATCAGCCTTTATGAAATATAATGTTCATATCCGGGCGGCGGCCTAATACCGCCATTACGGCGCCGCCAAACAAAACCCGAAGCGTAATTACAATCTAACGGGGAATACATTATTAGACCCTCCCGCCCCCGCCCCGCAGTCACGCAACCGCCCCACGCCCCCCAACTTAATTCGTTTTCGATGCACGCTGCAAACGATCGTTATCGCTCGCATTAGCGGCATTTAAAACCGGAACTCAACCCCGCCGTAGGGCGGAGGGAGGCGGGGTATGATCTGTTCATAGATAGAAGAAAGTGACCAATTGCCTTTGAATGGTATTATCCAAGGGTGGTCATTATCATAGAATACAACAACATTATTACCTAAAGTTTCGGAATTCAAATTCAGGTAAAATTGTGGTCCGTGATAGAAAATAATTTTATGCCTATCTGTGTTTAATATTCTTTGGTTTGGTATAATACTTAGTTTCAGTTTATTTTTAGTTTAGTTTCAATTTATTTTTTATTTCGTGTGTAATACAGCGTGTGTTGAATCGTGTACGAATTATGCAAAATGTGTTATATTTATGAACAGACTTTACTTACCTCTGCATATACCGTCGGGATCGCCGTGCTTGTACTTGCACGCGAGTCCTATCCGCAGGTCGCATCGGTTCTCCTCGTTGCAGGGTTCCCCGACCTGTCGCGGACACTGTCTGCAGTCCGTGCAGTCGCGTCCCGTCACGGGACACGAACACGGATTGGGACACGGCACTATCGCACTATCTTCCTGAAACCAAAAAACGGTGACGGCATGAAGGGCGCCGACGGAGGGGGAGCTTATCGATTCTCGGCGTCGGGATCGTGACGAAACCAAAAGAAAAGCGCCGCCACGCGTTCGCGACGCCGAACCCCTCCCACCCCCACCGACCCCCATCGAAATCACGGCGATTAATCGAATTTATAACGAGCGAGATTTTTAGACGACATCAACGACATTTTTGTTTTCCTTCTCCCCCCGAAACGGGGAAAAGGCGGCAGCTGTCCGGTCTTCCCCACCTCCCCCGAGAAATAAAAAGGCAATTTAATTGCGTCCTTTGAAATGACTTCGCGTAACGGGGAAAAACAATAATGTCAATTTTGTTCATAACATCAGAAAAGATATATTTGGTTAACGTAATTAATGTAATCAATTGCAATAATTAATATATTCTATTCAATAATTTAATTAAACTACAATCAATTTTGTTCGTTACATCAAAAAAATTAAATTTAATTATTGTAGTTAATTTTCCCTTATTTACTCTTAATTAAATTAATTCGTAAATACATTTAATTAAAAATATGGAAAAGCCTACAAGCCGGAAAGATTGACAATAAACTAATAAGAGTTAACCAATGTTTATGCAAAGAAACAAAAAATTGTGTAATAGGTAAGAACATTTTGTTCACTGTGGACCAAACCCTAAGAATCAACCTATAAAAAATATACAAGGATCCAAGAAAAGCATATTTTTCAACTAATCAATTAATGGGTTTATTGTGTTAACGATCTATAATTAATTTAAAAAAATATTATTCCTAATAAATTCAAACACATTCGAATTCAAAATTAATTAAATTAAACTAATGGTCAATGGCAACGATGTGAAACAAAAACGTAAATAAGGGACCACGGCGGCGATCAGGTAAAGCTAACATAAAAATTAAAAACGCTGTTTTGCGCGTAACGGACCAACGAACTAATTTAATTACATTAACTAATTAATCTCGTGCTGTTTTCCCGGCACACCCCGCGACCCTGACTAAATAAATTTAGGAAACTTTCGACGCCGAAAGGGGCGGGGTGGTATCCATGTTTCCACGTTTCCGGTGGATATTTAATTAGTTTAGAAATATAAAAGGTGCAAAACAAAAAAAAAGCAGATCATGGAAGGGGGTAGTCGACTGAAACGATAGTAGTCGTGTCTACCTCGTACTGGGCGGGACCAGGGATCAAACCACGCCCTCCGCCGCGTGCGTCTCTTTAAACGCGGGCGTGGCTAACAATTTAGCGCCGCCCCCGTTTAAACAACTCTCGTGCAATAAAGCGGACCGAAAAAAGGGCCGGAGGGTGAAGAACAAATGTGTATCCGCGACGAGACAGTCTCCATTAGGCGCCCTCAATCATACTGTATCCCCTTTTGTCGCGGTAACGTGAGTGACGACCGAAATGAATTTCGGCGTTCTTATGAAAAATCCTCCCCTCTCCCCGATATAATAAAGTATCAACTTGTTGTCTCGACTCGTCCGCTTTGTCATCCCCCCTAACTCTGCCCGCCCTATGAATGTGTTGTTTTCGTTGTCAGGTTGATGTTTCGTTCAATTGAAATTTATTAAAAAAAATCTTTTTTAGATTTTCACGAAATTATATATATTCACATGACAATTGTTTCGACTGTGTCTTTATCAGATGTAATATTTACAAACTACCTGCTACTATATATACCGAAAAATGATATTAAAACCTTAATTAATGTTATTGTGAGAATTTAAGTTTAATAATGGAGAGGTATTTAAATCTATCTGACCGTTAAGCAATACATTTGAATGTCTCATTTTGTTAGTCTCCATGGCTTCCAATAAATTTAATTTTCTAGTTTTTGTGGCTGTACTTAAAATATCAAAATTGTCGTCAAAAATGTGTTTTTCTGTGTTTAAGTGTGTAGCATAATTAGAATCTAGACTATTGTTTTTAAACGCTCTTTTATGCGTTTCTTGAAGGATCTACCTGTTTGTCCAATATACATTTTAGGACATGATACGTAACGTAACGAAATCACCCTGTATCCTCGACGGTACGGTGTCCCGAATGCGGATAATCAGTTTCTTTCTGCGTCCCTACTAAATCAACCCCGTAGTCCCCCCGTCCCGCCCCGCTAGTGGGGCCTGCGGATATTAAACGGGCGTTTCGCGTATTCTCTTAAAAACGAATCCCTTGTACCATTTAGGCCGCCCTTTTAGGCGCTGCACTTTTTCAAATCTCTCTCCGCCTCCCCAAAGTCCCGTGCATTGTTGGTGCGATGTGGGGTTACAAAGGGAACCCGGGATTCGACTTCCTTTTGTCCCGGCTCGCGAATCTTTCGGGAAATCTCGCCGAAAGGGCTGCTTTTGACGAAACCCTTTGGCGTTCCCGGCCTTCTTTTTTTTTTAAAGGGCGGCGGAGAAACAACGCGGGCTCTCTCCCGATCCCGTAAGTCCATAGGCTTTCGTCCGAACTCTAAGCCCAGTTTTAATTGGTCGGAACGTTTCTTGTTAGCCCGGCTCAAACATGGTAATTAACAGAGCAGCGTGGCACTTGGCTCAATAGAGGACCTCCGTCAATCTGTTGGAAGGATGCTACGTGCTAGCTCACGAGTTGTTAGAACCTTTAACCAAGTGGATCGTGAAAACACTCTAGAAAAAACATGTTTCGACTAATTTAGTCCAATCAGGAGATGGCAAAAGAAAATATCACGGTCTCACTCCCAACTCCGAGGTATTGAACCTCTCCTCGTGAAAAGACTTCGCGTCTGGGGATTGGCTGGCTCCTACATGCAAAAGAAAGTAAAAAAAAACCTACAGTAAGGAATTGTTTATCGTCTAGCCAGATTTAGAATACCAGAAAATAGTAGCAAACTTCTCGAGGTTTTGTCGAGTAAAATCCGACTAAAACGTCTATTGCCAAAAATATTGAGCCACACAAGCGATGTGGATTTAAATTGCCATATATTTCGATGGACAAGTTCTATATTGGAAAATTAAAAATTTCCAATAGCGCCTTCTTGACAGAATTTCTCCTGTCACCGTCAGGTCAAAGATAAAATCAAAGTCGAAAAGCCATAGGGATAGGCTAGGTTAAATATTGGTACGTATCAGACCACGGAATATTAAAAAATTGATAAAAAACCAACTGGTTACACCAACAACCAACCTTATCCCTGTGTTTTACTTTGCCTGCCGATAACTAACCGTTAAAAATACTATGCAAATCTAGCGAAATGTCAACAACATAAGCAAAGATCGTCTTACAAAAGTACACTTAGCTCGAAGAGATCTACCAGGAGAGTTGACGACTCGACTCCACGTAAGATATGACTGAACTTTTATATTGTTTACCCCTGATTTTAGATTTATAACTGGAACAAGAAGAAATTACGAATATAATAATAATTTAACCGATGAACACAAAAGGCGGAGGCTCGAATTTTGCTCTGAAATGAATAGAAGATCTCAAGAAGATAGAACTATTCTAAATAAAATAATATTTAATTATTTAATAATAATTTAATGAATTTAATTAAATAAAATTTAATTTGACATCGAGATGGCGCACCTCCACATAATGTCCAACCGCTTACCGATTATCTAAATAATAAATATAGACTTCCGATAGGTAGCCAAGGAACTATTAAATGAAAGTTTACAAATGATAACAGAAAGACTATCATTTATTAATATGAAATTGTAAGAAAATATATAGGACATTCCATAAAAAAAAGATGTTGCTGTCATTTTGGCAGCTTGAGATCGTCGTTTGTTTTTTCTGACATTTCTAAATATCCACGTTTCAGAGGCCTCCAATCGATTAATCGATCGATTAATCGATTGGCCTTTATTGTCCAGTATAGCAGTGTGGAGTGAATGTAACATTTTACAAAGCCATATCGAAGCGTTAAGTTAAGTCTGCTGTTGCTTAGCAAGGTTCTCATATTAATGAACGCAGTTCTGGCTTGCTCGATCCCGCTACGTATCACTAAGTCTGGATCTAGATCTTCAGTTAGCCAACTACCGAGATATCTGAATTTGGTGACCTTTTGGATGGTCTTGTTTTTTATTCTTATATTTAAATGCATGTTTCGTGTTGTGCTAACGACCATTACCTTCATCTTGCCTATACCGATGTTCAGTCCTAGCCGTTCTCCTTCAATGTTTATTCTATCTATTAGTAGTTGTAGCGGCTTCTTGGCTGTCGAGTATTATGACTGTATCATCAGCATAGCGAAGGTGATTAATGGTCCGTCCGTTGCATAAGATAATTGAGCAAAAATCTTCGAACTTTCGTATTTACACTTTTTCGAAATATAATGAGTAACCCAGTACATCACGGATAGATTTCCTCTCTGCTGTATAATCGCGACGATTCATCGCTCGTTCTCGTGACATTCGTGACCTTAAAGGAGTCTTTTCGATATCCTGCCGCTATACCATTACATATTTATACATCCGAACGCAGAGGCAACGTAAAATCACCAGAGAGAAAGAAGAAAGCAATCAGAAACATGAAGAAAGATCAATTTGAAGGAAAGTAACAAACACACTAGAATCCAATTAGCACGAGAAGCGCGATTTATTTAAAAAACCCAAATACATAGGTAATTCTTTACTTTATTGGAAATATGATCTAAGGTCGGATCAACTTACCCCCGAAACGTCTCTCTTGGCGTTACGAAAGTCCCGCGCCTCCGTCGCGACGCCTATGAACGCTACGACGAACACAGCTCGCCAGGCCATCGTCTCCGGACGTCTACAAACAAAATCGAGTTGAAAACGGGACGCGAAATATTTGAAATAGAGGCCCCACCCCCGATACTCCCGATCCCACGCGTGTCGTACAAAATCTTTTCCACAACTTGCCCGGTTACGACCGTCACGTTGTTTTACTAGGCGATTAGTAACTCGACATTCGCGGCATAGTTTGCGAGCGCCCAGATTAGACGAAATTCCACTCGGTTGGCGAACTATGCGACGCGCGTCCTCCCCCTCCCGAAGGGGATGGTTGCGGTCTTCGAATAAAATAGACGATGCGTTGGTTCACGGTCAATATGGCGACAAAGGAGCCCGGCAAAGGAAAATAGCGAGTCCGACAGGATCGAGAAACAATCGGGACGAATGGTCCGTAAAAACGGGTCAAACGCCCATAAAGGCGTTCCAGACACGCTCGAAAGGGTCCGTGTTGTTGTTAAATTTGGTATACATAGAAGAGATTCGACAACTACTTGTGCCGATCCGTACAGAGCGGTTCAGTAGGACGTGAGAAGAAAATACACTTGTTACATTAAAGCAAAATATTGTTTCATTAGATATTTTTTACTCCGATAGTTGTTTGATACATTTCGCAGGTACGAGGTGTGTTCAAAAAGTAAGGCGACCTTTACATTCGATATTCGATTTTTTTTGTTATGTTCACCGTTTCAGTCCGCCTGAACATTTACTTTTTTGTGAGACGGAACCGTTGGACGTGTTTTGTGTGCTGTGCTGTCAAAAAAAAATGGAATACTGCAAAACACAAGATGGCCGAGAAGACGCCGATGACGAACCCCGCCCCAACACGTCAATAACTGATGAAAGTTCGCATTTGTTAACTTAAACGCATCATGAAAAAATATTAGAACTTATAATTTAGGTAGGTATAAGCCCAGTCGCATACGATTTGGACCAACGCCCACATAAAGTTGCATTTATGAACTAATTTTTATTTTTTTGAAATAACTCTAACAAAAAAAACTGTCAAGTCAGGGGTTGCAGAAACGAATATACGAGGTGTGTTCAAAAAGTAAAGTGACTTTTGTAATTGGCTGGGCTGCTTAAAAAAAATGGTCTAAGAATATGCATAAAATTTTGTGTAAAAAATGTGTTACGTTCCAATTTCGACCTTAGGTCATATTGCCAGTAAAGTAAAGAATCACCTGTGTATTTGGGTTTTCTAATTAAACCACGCTTCTCGTGCTAATTCCATTCTAGTGTGTTATCCTTTTCCTCTGTGTTCGGATGTATAAATATGTAATGGTATAGCGGCTGGATATCGAAAAGACTCCTTTCACGTAATTATTGTTTTGCAGTCCTTTTTTTACTAATAATTACATTCGAATCACACGGCAAGGTGCGCAACTATTCAGCGATCGATGGTACCACCCGATAGGATACTTTGGTTACCTGTAGGGTTGAGCCATACATTGACTATCAATTTTATTCGAAGTATCGATACCTCGACTGAGAACATTTCCAGTACCTACTAGCTTTCTTAAAATTATATGTAGAAAATCTCGACGATTGCTATCCAGATATATAAATTTATTATAAAATTTTCCAGTTATATACAGCCTCTATTAGCCATATCGATTCGTTAACCCTATCTATATTGTTTTTTGGTCTAACTACGCAAATCGCGCGTTTTTCCGGCTTCACTTTTCCGTTAGTCGAGGTTCTGCAAGCAACAAGTTTGTAATTTTGTGGAAGTTTTACCTATTTTAGGGATTTTGAACCTGTATGCTGCTTTTAATTTGACCGTTGTGCCTTACCTTACGTTTTGGGCTTACTTTACTTTTCCTTTCGGCACTATAACCTCCCGTAAGGGGATATTCAGCCCGACAACGGTAAGTTTTTTTTTCTCGTTCCTCCATTTTGTTCAGAACATGCCGCAATTCGGTATCTTTGGCATTTATTTCTGTTACTTGCCTATTTTAGATTGAATAATTCCTCTTCGTTAAACCACCAAACATCGGGCTGGTTTCGCGATTAATCGGATGTAGGCTCCGCAATCCTAACGTCCAATCAGAACCCGTGTAACGGTAATCTATTTCTGTTTTATTTCACGATGCCACTTTAATTTTCGGGTTTTTTAAATAATTCCTGTCTGATCTAGCTCTAGGGTTCTTCTCTAAGGGTTTTATATCGCGAGACAGATCAGTAGGAATTCGTAGACCTACGTAACCGACCCGTCGCGCACCGAGGCTTTTGTGGACACTCGAGTATTATTTCCCGAGGTCGTCTCGACCGAGTTATTAACGACGACCCTGTTACTGACCGCTTACATCAGCAGAGCAGGCTACCAACCAGGTCCGATCGTCGCGCAACTCACACCGTCTTTGAGATTCCTTTATTTTTTTTTTTATTACTTCTGAAATTCAGTAACGAATTTTTTTCTTTTCGGTCTTATTTGCGTAAGTCGATTCTTTCAAAAAACGAACGTGGCAAATGGAATACAGTGCTACAAAATACTTGAAATGTTGACAACGGCATATGGTGCATTTACTTTGAACAAGAAAATGTTTATAAGTGATGTGAGCTGTTCCAAGATGGCCGAGAAGACGCCGCTGACGAACCTCGCCCCAGCACGTCCATAACGGATGAAAGCGTCGAAGAAGTGAAACAAATGGTGTATTGGAGAAGTGACTGAATACGTCGCCATTTCTATTGGCTTGTGCCATGAAGTTTTGGTTAGTTGAGTAGTAAGTGACGAACTTTGAGTATAACGTTGTGACGTCGAAACCCAATGGAAGAACACAGAATCGCCAAGACCGAGTGATTGATTTTCGCTCCGTAGTACATCAAGAGTTCTTAAGGTCAATAAAGAAGTAATGGGCCGTTTGCGAGAAAACGGCCTTACGTGGAAAACAATTCATGGATTTTGCATCACAATAATAAACTTTTCGGGGCAAAAACAAAACCACTATCATGGCCCGTCCACAGTATTCACCGGATATGGCCCAAACTCACGAAAGGAAGGAGGTTTCGATAAAGAAAAATCGCTCGAAGAACTCAAATCTATACCAGAAAGTGCTTCGAGCTGTATTTTGATAAATCTTAAAATCTTAAAGGTGAACACACCTACGTTCTAACGTCGTCATCGATCCAGAAATATGAACTAGACGGAGCCTTCGTCGAAGTAATAACTTAAACGTCCCTCCCTTCATCTCCCGACACGCTCCCGGCTTTATCCTTTTATCCTTTCCCGAGAAGATTACGTAATAACAAAATCGCTACGTCGCCTTTTTTTCACCGGACCCCCGCCGCGCCGCCTCCCGGCCAAATCGCATCGAAACCGTCGCCGTAAATAATACGGCCGGATTCCATTTCCCCCGCACGTTACGGACAATTTCGCTCCGCTGCCGAATCAAATCCCACACGGTGGTCGTCGGTTATTACCGCGGCGTTATTGATTCATACCGCCAGGATCCGATCATCCCTTTTGAATAATAAAATGTCACATATCTTGATTTATCCCCGATCGGGTTTCTGCGAAACGAGCGGTTCTTCGTTTAAGGGCTGCGAAGTTACATCGAACGGCGGTGCACGATCCCCGCCATCCCCAGTGGTGGAATGATACAAACTTACATATACGCTTAAGGGATGGTCGGGATCAGGACGAAGACCTCACCCAAGAAGGCGGGGTTTTTGTCTCGGTCTTCCTTTTTTGTATAGTCACGCCACCAGAGAAGTTAAAGTGTCTTAGACTTGGCTTTGCTGCATCCGAAGCGAAGACCAGAAATGAAAATTAAATTAGACGTATTTGTGAAGACCTCAGCCTTAAACCTGACTTTGCTGCTTCCGAGACGAAGACCAAAAACGGAGCAAAAGGATTTTAAAAATAATCACAGACTCTCATTGGAATCATTTCAATCATTTGTATCCATGAATTCCAGAATACCTTGCATATCACAAGATTGAGCCCATTATAGGGGCCATACTCCTAAGTTGTTGCTTGGCAGCCTTAGTTATAAAATTTGTACCAAGCTTCTTAATTTCATACCGTCCATTTTCTGGAATCTGCAAAACTGCACACAGTCCCAAAAACCCATAATCGCTCTTGCTGATGTGCATGTTTTTGGTTCCTGGTACGCAAAGCGGAAGTCGATGCACGCTTGTCAGCTACACGCTGTCTGTCCAAACATTTGTGACGGAACCTATTGAAAATGGAGGGGCTGAGGGATCGGGAAGTATTAAAAAAAAATAAAAATCGCGAGTGCAAGGGTCTACAAAAAAGACCATTTTTCAATGAACTTTTATTGTTGACAATTTTTCAAAAATATACAGGGTGCGCCGCAAATTCAAAAACGGCTGAAAAATGGGTCCCCCCATTATTGAAAATTGGCAATAATCTGTGTTTTAGATGTCAGTTTCTTTTACATGACGATATAGCCCATGTAGACAGCTTAAACTTTTGTATTTACGGTTTTTAAATATTGTACAGGGTGCAATGTTAAAAAACATAATAAGTACCCCAAACTTGCAGCTACCGACTTCAGACTTGGGAGAGAAGTAGAAGTCTATAGTCAATAGCTAATCCGTTTAAACTGTGTTATAGGCCATATCAAAAGCTACAATTTCCTTTTTAATACCATCCAGCATGACTTACCCATTTGCGGGAATCATTATTTTCCAGTCTAAAATTACCGTATCTACCTAGTCACTACATTTTTGAGACTGCATCGCTATCATTGGACGTCATGGTCAATTGTTTTTGTAGACAGTTCACTATCGGCGTTAATAAAGCACGATCCCACTTCTGATATTACAAATTAATGTTAAAAAAAACTAAAACCCGTATACAGCGGCTTTCATAACAAAAATCGAAAAATATCAAGCAATAAATAATTTTAACTGGTCTAACAATATAAATATATCGAGGGTACCCCTGGAAATAATTATGGGAAAACTACGATCGATAACAAATTAAGGCAAGTCAATTTTATTTCCTTCATTCCATTCCCATATTCGTGTGCCTTGCCGGGGATCCGTCGCACTCGTTGCCGGTCCGGTTCGCGATACCTCAGAAGCGGGATACGTCCGTAACAAACAACATTACGGACGCCGTATGTTTAAGTCGCCCTCTACGGCGATACCGGAGACGAGGAGAACAAAGCGCATCGCTCCCTCCGTATCGTCTTATTTCGGGATATTTAATATTCCTTTGTTGCGAAACCGACGCGGCTTCAGATTCTAATATGAACAAACAAGGAAGAGTGTATCGAGCGGATCGTGATCGTGGCCGTTTGTGTCAGAGCTGAATTTACAGAAGTCATCGCGACATAATAACTTTCCGATTCCCAATCGAGTGAGAGCGAGGTGAAAAATTCCACATCTGCGAACGAATCGATCATTTCGTGTAATTTTAATGAGCGCCGCGAGCTTCAAAGCCGAACCGATCGGTTATCGCAGTCGTCGACAGGAGGTTTGATAGATGACGAGTTAAATCACGACGTCGAGATCACCTTTAGATTAGATAACGGTTACACCGGGCACTCAAATGAACCGAAAAGTTGATCGCAATACCCTCGAAAATGCCTGGGTTTCTGTTCGTCCTAGGGCTCCTGGGTGTAGTGGCTGGTGCACCGCGTCACGATGTTTCGCCCAAGATCATCAACGGAACAAACGCGAACGACGGAGAATTTCCCTACATGGTGAGAGAACACTGTCCGCGGTCTGCAATCTTTAAACCTTTCCTCTAGGAAAAACAAAACTTATTTCCTAGTATTTCATTATAACTCGGAAACAGGTTAACCCATTGGTGAAACCAGATTTATTAGATTGCTTAATAGTATCTGTAGACCAAAATTATTTTGAATTTAATGGACAGATTTACATCTCTAAGTAAGGTTTGATTATGGAAATCCCACGTAGTCCTTTGTCATGTCATGGATACTTTGGAAAATATCATACCAGAACATCCTTTAAGTAAAAGTTTTTTATGGTGGTATAGATACGTCGATGATGTCTTTGCTTACTTTGTTGGAACGGACAGACAATTGAATTCTTTCTTAAACTACATTAATTCATTACATAATCGTATAAAATTCACTATCGAGATTGAACAGGATAACTCTATTAATTTTTTAGCTCAAAACAAATTAGATTTTTCAATTTATCATAAACCTTCACACACGGACACAGTCAAATTACCCTTATACACACAAAATGGCTTCACTCTTTTATACGCAGACTTCTTAATACGCCACTCTCAACAGAAAATTACAACAAAGAACTTAATATCTTAAACAAATTGCTCAAAATGTGGTTTAAAAATAGCTTTCAGAACTAACAACACCTTAAAAAAACAATAAAATGAAGTGTCCAAAATGTCAAAAATCAGGTGCCTACAGGTTGAAATGCGGACCATGTCCTAAAATTTATATTGAACAAACAGGTAAAGTCTGTTCATAGATATAAGAAAGTGACTAACTGATACGAATTAAGGAAAGACCCGGGCAAGCTGTAAAAATGAAATATGGCCGATCAGGTCTGTACTTTGCTTAGAATTTAATTATTTGGGGTTTTATTAGGAAAGATACTAAACTATAAAAGCAAATTTGGCGATTTATTAGAACCCAAAGAAAGGAAGTGAACGAACTAGTCGAAACAAATCAGATAACAAAGGAAACCTGGGTTAACTACCTAACCGAATTGTATGAACCAGAGAAACCCGAGATTGAACTGAATACACCCGAAATAGTGACGAATCGCAACGCAGAAATTGAGGTAGCCGACGTAGCTGCAGCTCTTCAAAAACTAAAAAACAGGAAAAGTCCAGGTAAAGATGGTATCCCAAACGAGTTACTTAAATATGGTGGCCCGTGTCTTGCACAGCAGCTAACATCCCTCACTCGGAAAATTCTCTACCAACATAGAATACCCGATGACTGGCGAACTAGCATCACTATCCTTATGTTCAAAAAGGGAGATAAGAAAGTACCCTCAAACTACAGAGGTATAAATCTCTTAAGCACTGCACTGAAACTTACAACAAAAATTATAGCAAACAAAATCAACAACTTAACACCCTTAGCCGACGAACAGCAAGGATTCAGATCGGGCAGATCATGTACAGATGCGGTTTTTGTCATAAGACAGATAACAGAAAAATCAATTGAATACAACAGACCGGCATACATGTGTTTTATTGATTTGGAAAAAGCGTTCGATCGAGTGCGATTAAGAGACGTTTTACACCTCCTTTACAACAGACAAACTCCACACAACCTCATCAAAACGATAGTAAATATATATGAAGCAAACCAGATCGAAGCAAAAATAAATGGGATCCTGACTGAACCAATAGCAGTGGGCCGAGGTATCCGACAGGGAGACTCCCTGAGTCCCCTTCTCTTCAACATTATCATGGACGAAGTAATAAGAAATGTACGATTACTGAGAGGATACAGAATGGGCGACCATGAAATCAATATTCTGTGCTACGCTGATGACGCCGTACTGGTGGCTGAAAGTGAAGACGATCTGCAACGACTATTACATCGATTTAACTGCACTGCCAAATCACTTAATATGATAATATCGGCCCAAAAAACTAAATGCATGACAACATCAAAAACACCATTAAGATGCAAATTAGAAGTTGAAGGCAAAATCATCCAGCAGGTAATGAAATTTAAATATTTGGGCATAGAAATCTCGGGTTATGGTGATGTGGAGGCAGAGGTCAGAGAGCAAACAACAAGGGCAACAAGAATAGCAGGATGCTTAAGCGACACAATTTGGCGAAATAAAAACATTAAAATCGAAACCAGATCGAGAATTTACAAGGCAATAGTAAGACCAACCATGACATACACCGCAGAAACCCGACCAGACACAGCGAAAACTAAACAATTACTAGAGACAACCGAAATGAGGATACTTCGTAGAATAACTGGAAAAACGCTCTTGGACAGAGAGAGGAGCGAAAATATAAGACGAACATGCAGGGTGGAAAACGTTAATGCGTGGGTATTGCGTAGAAAGAAAGAATGGAACGAGCATATTAGTAGAATGGACAACAGAAGAATAGTCAGAATTGCACGCGACAAATCACCATTGGGTCGCAGGAGCTTAGGTCGCCCCCGAAAACGATGGAGTGACAACCTGGCAGTGGGATAGGCAGAGACGACGAAAATGAACAGGCAATTTGCCTAGACTAAAGTAGGAAGAAGAAGAAGAAGTTTATGTTTTATGTTTTATGTTTAAATCTAAAATAAAATTACAAATTATTTTTATTACCTACTTAAATTACTTAAAATTTAAAAATGTTTAAAAATGATCAATTAGATTTAAATACCTCTGCTTTATTGAACTTAACTTCTCACAACATCAATTAAGGTTTTGTTGTCATTTTTCGGTATATATAGTAGCAGGTAGTTTACAAATATTACATTTGATAAAGACACGATGTTGTCGAAACAATCGTCATGTGAAAATATATAATTTCGTGAAAATCTGAACTTTTAGTTCCTAATTATTTTCATAAATGGATTTTCATCAAGTAAAAGCCACCTCAGTTCAACTTTCCTCTAGGTATCCCTGCGGAAAGTTCGCGACGGGGAACAGCACGAATGCGGAGGGTCCATCATATCCGAGCGCTGGATCTTGACGGCTGCTCACTGTGTCTGGGGGTGAGTGCGACGAAAAAGTTCGGTTATCGAGTGTGTATCTACCTCGTCGTTTCAGCCAGTTGCTCGTGTCAGTGCGGTATGGTTCGGTACGGTTGGACGAGGGTCACGTGGACTACAACTACACAATGCCCATAAAAACCCAAATCGTTCATCCGGACTATACCAACATCGCCAACGACAGCGGGTGGTTCATGCTGAACGATGTCGCCCTGTTGGAGGTAACTTACGGCGGCAGCGCCAAAATTTCCCGCTCTGAATATGAAGGAAACAAAGTAGAGTAACAATTTGTTATTATTTTTCAATAGAATCCCCTTAACTTCAATACACTTATTACATCTCTTTATTAACAACTCAATAGCTTTAAGAAAATATTCTTTTGGTTTGTCTGCAAAATGAGCTAAAACTCAACTCGTCTTGTTTAAAATGCTGTCAATAAAAACTATTTGGCGCAAGACTTTTATCGCGATACTGGAGCTGCATCTATGTCAGGCCGGGAAATTTTGGCGCTAACCTCGTATCTCCGTTTGTGAAACCACCTCTGCCTTCGTGGTCTTCACCAGCTCCAAGACCCATTGCCGTTCGGACCTGATGTCGGACCGGTACAGCTCCCGGACCAAGATGACCCAGAGCCCGTCGGAAGCACCGGAGTGCTGTCGGGATGGGGCAACATCGACGACCACAGCACCCAGCCCGAGGTGCTCCAGAAAATCGACCAAATTTTATACGACCAAGAATTCTGTTCAGCGTATTTCGCAGTCAACTCCATATGGTACTACGATCGGTACGGTTTCGTCTGCGGGGGAGTACCGGGAGAACTGCGACGCGCCTGTTTCGTAAGCGAGACGTGCCCGTCGTTGCCTCGTTGACTTCCGTTTTGCAGGGCGACTCTGGCGGACCCCTGGTGGTGGACGGAGTCCAGCGCGGTATGGTCTCCATGGGCGGAACTAGGTGCGCCGTCAGTCCGACCATCTTCACGCGGGTCTCCGTGGTCCGCGACTGGATACGAACGGTGACCGGGACGTAGTAATTAACCGGAACCCCCGGAGCGCGCGTAAACTTCTCCCCGCCTCCATTGTTCAACCCCCCTCGGTTAATAAATCCCTCGGGGACGAAAGTTTTTGTTTGCCCAAGATGGAATTCCCGCCCCCGCTCTCCGTTTATTACGTGCTTAAAGTAAAACGGCGGTGTTTTGCCTCCCTTCCCGTGCCGGACTAAACGTATATTAAACCCGAAACTTGGGACCATTGTTCCATTGTTTTGCTGGGGGTTGATTTCGCGCGAATCGTGCCCCGTTTCGCATCGATCGCCTCCGTGGCGACGACTGTGCTGAATGACGAGAATCCTACGTCCTATTGAAAAAAATCACATCCGCTGGTAAAAGTCGTACCAGATAAGGCCCAAATTTAAACTGCAAGCGCGGTTACGTTCCAATTTCGACCTTTGGGTTTTATTAGTTAAATCATGTTTCTCGTGCTAATTCTATTCTAGTGTGTTTGGTACTTTCCTTCAAATTAACCTTACTTTATATTTTTGATTCCTTTCTTCTTTCTCTCTGGGAAGATAAATTTACTTACAGATACTGCTTTTTGCTAGTGATTTTACCTTGCCAATGTTATCCCTTTCCTCTGTGTTCTGATATATAAATATGTAACGGTACAGCGACAGGATGTTGAAAAGACTCCTTTCACGTTATAAATGTTTTGCTATTGTTCGAGCTATAATCAAATACGGTAGAATCAGCAATTATTCTTGAAGCTTCACTGGCAGTTAAAATCAAAATTGCTTACTTACGGCTGTTTGTTTTAAAGTTAATCTTTGCTAAGTAAATAATATTGATCTGACCGAGAGGTTCTTCTTTCCTTCTTTACTTCTAATGGCCACGACTGGATAAGGTCATTCGGCCAGCTTACAAAATTTTTCACACTATTTAGATATCCTAAAAAATGCCTTCTTAAGAGAAGGGTCTGGACCAATCCATTATCTTCCAGGTTTTTGTTTTTTACGTCTACAAAAAAGGAAACTTCTAAATAAATTGTCATAAAATGACGACCGATTCTTCAAACGGCTCCGGCAATTATCTTATACCGCATATCCGATCCCATCCGGCCTAGTTACCAGCGTGAATATAGGACATTCGGAAACCGTATTTACATACACCTCATGGAATTACACATCACAAAGCCGTGTACATCCACGTAAGACGAACACTATTTCCCAAACTTATAGGCACTACGACTCTATCACTTCAGATAACGAATATACGTAACAACACTAATTTCGACCGCATTCTAGATATTTTTTGGAACCGGGCAGCATCGAAAAACCTTAAAGTCGACCGAGAGGTTATTTATTCATACGTCAATCAGCCGGTATGCGATCTTCTTCGTTGGTTACCGCTACGTCCAGTAGGCAGTAGGCAGTCCTTTTTTTTACTAATAATTACATTCGGCAAGGTGCGCAACTATTCAGCGATCGATGGTACCACCCGATAGGTTGTCGTCGAGCTCCGGCATAAATTTGCACAGACCTAGACATCCGTTACGACCTGCTCGCTGCTTTACCGAGTGTTCGTTATATACATTTTTCTATTTTTTAAATATTCCAATTTTCTAATTTAAATTTTCAAAAAAAAAAAAACGTGGCAGCGTCGTAGTGTGCTCATCCTATACAGCACTGGCTTAGGGGCGTAATCTAACTCCAGATTGTAAAAAATCGCACCAAACCATTTTCACTTGGGAAGGCCACGCCCCCACGACGGCAGGCTCTGACGGAGCCCGCTTGGGGCGTGACGCTTCCGTGTCCCAGGAATTAGATACGCGCCGATAAATATTCGGCCCCGCGGGGGGGCGCAACGAACTTAATCTCGATGTCGGCGGATCGAAAATCCATAAAAGCACACCCCCGACCCGAGGGATGGGGTGGGCGAGGGTACGCAAATATTTTCGCGGATATTTGCGACGTTGAACAGTGTCGTCGCGGAGGCTTCGAAGATAAAACGGTGCTTTTAACGCGGTTTGGGGGCGGCGTTCAAGGGGGCACCCCCCTCGACCCGCAGTTTGCTTAACACGTAGCTCGAGAACACGCATCCGGAACAGCGACGCTTCCGAAACCGAGTGAAACACTTAGACACTTAGACAACTGGCGCCAATTAAGGGGGACGAAGTTGCACACGAAGTTTCCGTCGTGCAGCGGGGACTTATCGGTTACCGCCGCCGCCACGCCTTTGAGACGTCGGTAATTGTCGTTCGAGAATAGTTCCGCAACACCCCCGGAGGCGGGGGATGACCGCCTCTAATTAGTGACGTGGCGGATCGTAAAAATTACGAAGGGAAACGACAAAACCGCCCTGTAAGCTTGAATTGCAACTTTTTCTTCTTCGGCGGACTTTTAAACACGATACGGAAAGTTCGCGTCACCTCGTTACCCGGAAAGTTTAATCCTCCGGGGGGCAAATGAGTTCGGCTTATAACGGGGTCTCGGAAATTGGATAAAAGCGTCGCTCCGACTCCATTTGAAAGCGTTTCCCTATATACCGCGCGTTAATAGATACCGCAAAGCGTCAATATCGTGTACGCGAACTTTTTCTCTTAAAACTAATCAAAAAATCGTCGATACTTCATAAACCAATCCAATCGGTACAGTGTCAAGAACTACAATTTTTGTATTTGCTGTTTTGGTTTATCATACACGCTCGAGATGTTTGGTTTCAGAAAAAACTTGTTTTCTTGAAAACCATTTACTATTTTGGAAAAATTCTTCGACCAGCAGATGTGGGAGATCTGCGGCTATAACCAGAATTTCCGGAATTTTTTCCATTATGTACAGCGATTATGGGCAAAAATATCAAAAAGACCGGGAAAATTGCCGTTTTCGTGGATAAATTAATAGCCGTAAATGAAAAACTATAAGACATGGGATAATCATCATACAGGGCGCGCGAGATACTAGGAATAATATCCTTGGAAATCGTTATTACTTGTCCAATTTTTTGGATTTTGAAAGACGCTTGATACAGGGTGTGTGCACAATATAATTACATAGATTTTACGAACTTGCCCCGCCCAGGGACGATTTTTCGAAAGCAATCTTGTATATTCGTGCGTACGCGTGTGGCCGAGTGTCCCGTTCGGTAGTGCAGAATAATGAAAGTAGTTCAAACGTACCGTCGCCGTTTTCATCGTCCCCGCGCATTAAAATCCCGCTTGCGGATGAAAGAAAACGAATCGGGGGGCGGTAAAAAAAAAGCCTGGCGCTGAAAAAGCCCCGACCCTTTGTCAGTCTTTGTACCGGGGTGCGAAAACAATTTTTTTCGTCCCCCGAAAAGGCGACGGGCCGAAATTGGAGCGGCCGCGATACGCACAACGTTGATTGATAATACAAAACAATCTCCCGGCCGTATTTTGTATTTTTTCGGGCGCTCCCGTGAAATAACGCAGCTGCGAAGTATACCACGAGGGCAGCGCCAAAATTTCCCTGCCTGAATATGAAGGAAACAAAGTAGAGTAACAATTTTTTATTATTTTTCAATATAATCCCCCTTAACCTGAATACACTTATTACATCTCTTTATTAACAACTCAATAGCTTTAAAAAAATATTCTTTTGGTTTGTCTGCAAAATGAGCTAAAACAGCCTCTTTTAACTCAACTTCGTTGTTAAACCGCCGTCTACGTAAGTCCTTTTTCAAATATCCAAACAAATAATAGTCGCTGGGGACCATATTTGGACTATAGGGAGGATGATCTAACTGTTGGAACCCACACTCTAAAATGGCAGCTTGTGCAACACCAGCAGTATGGACAGGTGCATTATCGTGCAAAAGACGCGACTCTGGTGAGTTTTCCTCGACGTTTTACACGAATGCAACACTCGACACGGCGTTGCTTTTGAATAGCCGAAAGGTTTTTAGGAACCCATAAAAACCTTATGCATACCTAAATGATCATGCAGGATTCGACGAACACTTGTATCAGAAAGCTTAGTAATTTCTGAGGTTTTCTTGACCTTTAAACGTCGATCACTCAATACCGCCTCTTCCACAATCGCAACAATATCTTCCGTTATGACCTTCACCGGTCGACCAGTTCATGAATCATCTTCAAGGGACTCCTGCCCCATTCGAAAACGCTCTGCCCATTCTTTCACTACAGAATACGAAGGAGAACTTTGGCCGTGCACACCATCCAGCCTTTCTTTAATAATTTTAGGTGCTAACCATTCTTTTGTCAAAAACTTCATGGCTGCTCTCTACTCAATTCGCGTTATTTGTGACATTTTTTCGGGCACGTCTTCTTTAAAATGCCAATAAAAAACTATTTGGCGCAAGACTTTTATGGTGATACTGGAGCTGCATCTATGTCAGGCCGGGAAATTTTGGCGCTAACCTCGTATATGTAAAACGAAGATGCCTATACCTTCCGATTTAATAATAATAATAATAATTTTTATTAATAGCACTTGGCTGGCTAAAATGCAAGCGTACTGATACGACTAAATAGAACAAAACAAACTAACAAAACGTACTTGCAATAAATACAGTAATATCAGTCTTCTCAATAATGGAACCTAAATACTTAAAATTGTATAGTACAGTCTCGAATACTTCGCTGTTAAATTATTTGTTACGTCGTGTTTACAATTTCTTGTGAGCACCATTTTTGTTTCATCTAGGTATAACTGTAAATAGCTTGATATGTTATTTTCAGTTACTGTTAATTGGAATGAGCTGTATGCACAACATAACGTAGATAAAAGCACTGAAATCTTTATACAAATTTTGAAAAAGCGAGAAGATCAGAAAGACAGAGACAACACGTGCATTAATGAAGTCAACATTAAAGAAAAACCTACTTTACAAAAAAATGCAGAATAATCGCCAGAACACATCATTAATGGCTGAATTTAAATTATACCGAAATAAATTAACCGACTTGTTAAAACAGGCTAAAATAAACTGTTCCAAACAAAAACAAAACAAAATTGCTTTTAAATTCGCTACAAACAGAAATCATAACATTAAATACGAGTACAATTCACGACTATCAAGAAATACCAAACTATTTTATGAACTATTTTAATGATTTCTTTATTTAACTGTTATTTTTACAAATACAACTAATTATATTTACAT